CTTACACACAGAGAAACACACAATGCATCCATTACACACACACACACAATGCAACCCTTACACACAAAGACAATGCATCCTTTGCACACATACAATGCAAACCCGTACACACGCATGCAAACACACACACTTCTTTTCTTACATACACACAGAAACACAATGCATCTCATGCACACACATACAGACACACACCTTGCATTCCTTATGCATACAAACACAGATTCACACAAAGCATCCCTTACACACAACCAGAAACACATAAAACATCCCTTATACACAAATACACACTGCTTCCACTACACACAAACACACTGCATCACCTGCACAAACTGGTAACCCTAAACACTACATACCATAAGCACAAATATTAGATCCTCTACAATAACACATAACACATCCCCTACACACTCCACTCCCTGTGAGCGAACTCATGGGTGGGTGGAACTTATGAGTGGGCCTTATGGGCATACTCACCGTCAGGCCCTGGGCTCCAGACCTTGAGCTGTGTAAGGGGCCCCCAAAAAATTGAGCTGCTTCCAATTCTCCCAGAACATTGAATTTTGTGACCACAGTTGCAAACAGCCTCCAGAGATCCTGTTCTACACCAGACCAGTGGAGCCAAACTGCAGCCCATCATCATCCTCATCTGCTTGTAAGCAGGCAATCTAGTATATTATTAGTGACACTAATCTATAATTTACCTCACATTAAAGGGACACTATAGCTTAATGAAGTGGTTCTGGTGTCTATAGCTGGTCCCTGCAGGCTTTTTAATGTAAACACACACTGTGTGCAGCACTGGCGTTAGTTCATATGGCAGATCATATGGGTGGGGCATTGTGATGTGACATGTGGGGGCAGTAAATTTTTATTTTGTCTAGGGCGGCAAAAATCCTTGCACCGGCTCTGATCCTGGGCAGGTGCACCAGTCTACTTGACTGGTTTTGCCCCCCTGGCCGCTGGGGAGGTCTTTTGGTGGCCGCTGGCGGACTTGTCCTGGCGGCCGCTGAGGGAGCTGCGCGAGCTGCGCTGGCTCTGCTCCCCAGCACGCAGCTGAATGAGACCGGCGCCGGAATATGACGCCATATTCCGGCGCCAGTCTCATTCAGCAGCGCGCGAGGGCGGGAGGGCACTAACACAGGAAGCACCTCTAGTGACCGTCTGAGTGACTGTCACTAGCAATGTCACTTTGAAGCAATGTAAACACTGCCTTTTGTCTGAAAAGTCAGTGTTTACGTTGAAAAGCCTGTAGCGACATGCTATAGACACCAGTACCACCACATTAAGCTGTGTGTGTGCGTCTGCTAGTGAGTGAGCTTGCTTGCATGCGTGTGCCTGCTAGTGAGTGAGCTTGTGTTTTTATGTCAATGAGCTGATGTATATCAGTAAGATTGTTTGTCTATGAGGCTGTGTATCAATGAGCTTGTGTGTGTCACTGAAATGTCAGTGAAATTGCCTATATGTATATATATATATATATATATATATATATTACTCAATCATCTGTCCTGGCAAGACATAGCCTTACATATTACACGCGACAATATATGGCGCAGTGACTTATGGGGCTGGCACAATTTTTTTTTCCAGGGCTGCTTTGTATCCCAGTCATTCAGAAGCTGACCTTGATCGGTAAGGAGTCAGGTAAGGGGTGTACGTTATATAGGGGAGTGAGTTAACTTAAGCCCCTCCCAAAAATACAGGCCAAATGGCCTTAATACTTGTGTAAGGGGCAAAATAGCTGTATATGGAGTAAGGTTCAAGTAGGAACTTGGAATAGTATAAAAGAGCAAGTCGGTTGTGGTGTGCCGATACTGACGATACGGTAGGCCTGTAAGTAAAGAGGGCAAAAGTGAATAACCAAATATTTAATACAGTCAACAATATATACAATTATCCAGATATAGCTTTAAATGCATTTCTTAATTCTTGTGTTGGTTTGGGTATATATGTGGTATAGGCAGATGACTTCCAACGTCCCAGTGACTTGATGACATGCACTGGTATGTTGGCGCTGGACGCAGTGGAGGCCGCTCCTATGCGAAAGGAGTGACCAGAGTAGTGAGAAGGGTTGAGACCTAGCATTGTTAGCAGGGATCGTATATATCTCATGAATGCAGTGGTAGTGAGTACAGCGCCTTGTAGTTCAAATAAAGGTTGGGATGGTAGTGATGTGGTATTTAGAAGGTAGGCGTCTAGGGCCACCACTGGACACCATTTGTTTTGGGTAAGGTAATATGTGATATCCACTGGAGGTGCGTGTTGGCTTGTCTTTGACTGGGGTAATGCGAGTATGTAGTGGTCCATATGTTTGTGAAGGTGCTTGTGTAGCAGGCATCTGTCTGTTTGAGTGGTGGTTATAGTAGTGAATTCCCTTGGCCTGAGGAACCCATAGAAGGCTGTGTACATGGCAGTTTTAATGACTGTATTGGTGGTAGAGTGGAAATGTTTGGAATCTAATAGGTCGGATAATGACTGAAAAAGTGTATTGTCTATAGGTAATCTCTGCGGGGATCGTGGAGGCATGGATTTTTGAATGCCTTTGAGTATATTCTTTACCTGGTAAGATGACATGAAGCTATGTGTATTAGGTCTTAGGGTTAGCATATGATGTTTTATGCCTGTAATATATAAATTAATGGTGTTATATGATAAATGTAATTTAAGATGGCAAAAGGAAGTGAAAGCTATAATAGACGTCATGACAAACGGTTGGGATATGTCGTGATCGGAGAGAAATCTGGTGAATAGTGTGAAGGCTCTGTTGTATGTATTGCGAGTGTTGTATGATAATGCTTATTTGGATAGATCCCTGCTATGTTCCATGATTAAGTTTTGTCCATGATTAGTTGTAGGAATGGAGGAGTGGCTGTGGCTGCTTGAGCGGCTGACGGGAGTGCTTGTCGAAAAGGCCTGAAAGTTGAAACGAGACAGACTGTCAGCTGCTATGTTACTAATACCTGGCACATGAAAGCAGACCAAGTAGAAGTTGTGACATTCTGCCAACCACGTGAGTTGTCTGAGAAACCTCATGATTGTAAGGGATGTTGAACAGCCTTTGTTGATTATGTGACATGTGGCTTGGTTATCTGAGTGGCAATGAACTGACAAGCCTGACCATAAATGTCCCCATGCCACAGCAGCCGCTACAATGGGGTAGATCTCAAAAAGAGCTGAGGTTGTAAAAAAGCCTTCTAAGTCATGGACTTCTTCAGGCCACTTACCCCAAAGCGATTCGTTCCCAAAGATGGCTGCAAAACCCATGTTAAACGCCGGGTCTGACCATATGGTTGTCGACATGTCTGATAATGCGGGGAGGAACAAGCTTTTACCATTCAAGGTGGTCAAGAATTTCTTCCACATGTGTAGGTCTGCTGTGGCTTGTAGATCCATGGACAGTCTATGGTTGTCGTGTTGGAAGTGTGGGAAAAGACAAAGAAGTCTGGATATGAAAGCCCGCCCTTGTGGGATGATGCGCATAGCAAAGTTTAAGGAGCCTATGAGGGACTGAAGTTCCTTGCGGTTGCAAGTACCCAGCAAGATGTAGTGATTTATGCTGTTGAGAATGTTTTAAATTTTATCTTGTGGTAAACTTGCTTGCATGGATGCAGAGTCCAGTTGTATGACCAGGAATGTAATGATGGTGTCTGGACCTTCTGTTTTCTTAGGGGATACTGGGACACCCAAGTGGACAACAGGCTAAGGGCTTCTTTGACACTTCTGGGGGGGAAGGGAGTTCCCTTCTATCACCTGCGTGAAGGTGTCTCGACCCAAGCTAGGGTGCTAGGAAGAGATAACTCTTCGCCACCTTTTTGAGACATACTTTAACTAAAACAGAAGGTAAAATCATTATTTGAACCGGGTGTTTTAGTACTGGCTTGCCAGCTATGCCGTGCGGCGAAATGATTATGCTTATGTTTTGTGACTGGTGAGGCCCTGCTAGTGCCAAGTGGATTGAAAGGCTCTAGCTCTGCGTTGGCGCAATGGGATTTTTGTGGCCAACAATCGTAGTGGCAGGATGTTGGCCTCTCGGTGACAGCACTCATAAAAAGGAAAGGGAGTGATTGGTGAGGCCGTCTCTATGATACATGCGAGGCGGCTAACTCACGAGTGGCCTGAGGGGTGTATGCCTCAGAGTATGAGGCGGGGTGTTGGCCTTGCGGGACCGCTAATCCGAAGCATAGTGCAGAGAAGGAGGAAAAACTGCTATTGGCCCCTATGACCCTAATTGCCAGTACTTATATCTATTTTTTTGGGGCGGGGAGATCATATATAGATATACTGTGAGCAGGTGTACGTACCTGGAAGTATAGTTTTGGAACCTGACAATCTGTATAGGTAGCAGTAGTACCTGTAACTAAATAGATTGAAACCGTATGAAAATAAAGACAATTGGCACAACTAAATTCTTAGTAATGTTTTGGCTGTTTAACCTGTAGAGGTCAGTGGAGATGATGTTTGTAAGATCTCCATTAGTTATGTACTAGCCAGCCTGTATGTGGCAGTGGCAGATTTATAGTATGGTGGATGTAATATTATGTGACGTGCGTTCTGAGCTTTGATTTATATGTGATGCCCGTATATGTTTGATTTAGGGTGTTTTTGTATGCATATACTATTATTATGGGAAGGTATGTATGTTGATAGGTGACCGTAGTATGTATAATACAAAATATTATTTGGTATTTGTGTGTAGTGATGTCCCGAACGATTCGCCGCGGACTCATCATTGAGTAAACTTTGACCCTGTACCTCACAGTCGGCAGACACATTCCAGCCAATCAGCAGCAGACCCTCCCTCCCAGACCCTCCCACCTCCTGGACAGCTCACTAAGAATGCAGCTTCACAATGAATGTAAAATGGATGCTGTCCAGGTGGTGGGAGGGTCTGGGAGGGAGGGTCTGCTGCTGATTGGCTGGAATGTGTCTGATGACTGTGAGGTACAGGGTCAAAGGTTACTCAATGATGAGTCCGTGGCGAACCGTTCGCGAACCGCTCGGCGAATCGTTCGGGACATCACTATTTGTGTGTAATGATTGGTATTTATTTATATACCTATGTGTGTCCGTATCTTTACGTTAGCATGCGTATGACAATTTAGTTGTTTGGTGTTCATTATATAGGGTCAGTGTTTAGGGACAGTTAACACCCAGTTTTGTGTTATTATATGTGCAGTGTAGACTGGACGAACAGATTGATTGCCATATGGAAGTGTGTAATTGGCCGGTGGGCAAGAACCCAGATAGATGTGAACGATGCAACTCGTTCGTGAGTATGAATGATTGCTGTGTTACAAGTTCTAGGCAAACAAAGACTCTGTTCGTGTGTTTGGACCGTACGAATGGAGGAGTCATACAACGATCTAAGCGATATTCCTATTCGGAACAGTACAAAAGCATATAAGTATACATACTAACTATACATAGAATATGCATAAGATTTATCCGAACCGCAAGATGCCCGAACGGTTTGCAAAGGGAATAAGATGTGACAGCCAAAAGCGCTATTGACTGTAAAGTGAGGACCTGACCCTGAGACCGTTGCCGTGGGACTGTTGCCTTGCGTGATGGCTAGGTCAACTTTTGAGTCACTAGGACGTGATCTGCGGCGATGAAAGAAGCTGGTCGGAAGGAAAAGCCTGCGGCTGGATTCCTGGACACAGTTTCAGTGCGGAAGACCTCGTGAGAAAACAGAAGTATTCCAAAATGGCGACTGGATGAACCGGAAGTGCATTCAGAAGGTGACCTTGATCGGTAAGGAGTGTACCTTATATAGGGGAGTGAGTTAACTTAATCCCCTCCCACAAATACAGGCCAAACGGCATTAATACATATAATATACATATATAGCAAAGTGTGATTTCTTTAGTGTTGTCACATGAAAAGATAGAATACAATATTTACAAAAATGTGAGGGGTCTACTCACTGTTGTGAGATACTGTGTGTGTGTGTGTGTGTGTGTGTGTGTGTGTGTGTGTGTGTGTGTGTATATATATATATATATACACAAAAATGTTATATAAATATACCCCCCCGGTTTTATATAGATATAAACACACACAAAAATAAATATAATATATACACATATACAGTATCTCACAAAATTGATTACACCCCTCACAATTATGTAAATATTGTATAATATCTTTTCATGTGACAACACTAAAGAAATTACACTTTGCTGCAATGTAAAGTAGTAAGTGTACATCCTGTATAACAGTGTAAATTTGCGGTCCCCTCAAAATACCTCTACACACAGCCATTAATGTCTAAACTGTTGGCAACAAAAGTGAGTACACCCCTAATTGGAAATGTCCAAAGTGTCAATATTTTGTGTGGCCACCATTATTTTTCAGTACTTCCTTAGCCCTTATGGGTATGGAGTTCCCCAGAGCTTCACAGGTTGCCACTGGAGTCCTCTTCCACTCCTCCATGACGAAATCACGTAGCTGGTGGATGTTAGAGACCTTGCGTTCCCCCACCTTTCATTTGAGGATGCCCCATGGATGCTCAATAGGGTTTAGGTCTGGAGACATGCTTGGCCAGTCCATTACCTTTACCTTCAGCTTCTTTAACAGGGCAGTGGTCGCCTTTGAGGTTTGTTTGAGGAGCATTTTCACGTTAGCATACTGCCCTGCGGCCCATACTTTAAAGGGAGGGGATCATGCTCTGCTTCAGTATGTCACAGTACATGTTGGCATTCATGGTTCCCTCAATGAACTAACTCCCCAGTGCCTGCAGCACTCATGCAGGCCCAAACCATGACACTCCCACCACAATGCTTGACTGTAGGCAAGACACATTTGTCTTTGTACTCCTCACCTGGTTGCCGCCACACACGCTTGGCACCATCTGAACCAAATAAGTTTATCTTGGTCTCATCAGACCACAGGACATGGTTCCAGTAATCCATGTCCTTAGTCTGCTTGTCTTCAGCAAACTGTTTGCGGGCTTTCTTGTGCATCATCTTTAGAAGAGGCTTCCTTCTGGCCATGCTGACCAATTTGATGCAGTAAGCGGCGTATGGTATGAGAACTGACAGGCTGACCCACCCTTCAGAGAGTGTGAGAGCGATAACACCAAATTTAACACACCTGCTCCCCATTCACACCTGAGACATTGTAACACTAATGAGTCACATGACACCGGGGAGAGAAAATTGCTAATTGTGCCCAATTTGGACATTTCCACTTAAAGGACCACTCTAGGCACCCAGACCACTTCAGCTTAATTAAGTGGTCTGGGTGCCAGGTCCAGCTAGAGTTAACCCATTTTTTTTATAAACATAGCAGTTTCAGAGAAATTGCTATGTTTATAAATGGGTTAATCCAGCCCTCAAATCCTCTAGTGGCTGTCTCATTGACAGCCGCTAGAGGCGCTTGCGTGATTCTCACTGTGAAAATCACAGTGAGAACACGAAATTGTCCATAGGAAAGCATTGTAAATGCTTTTCTATGAGACCGGCTGAATGCGCGCGCAGCTCTTGCCGCGCGTGCGCATTCAGCCGAAAGGGAGGAGAGGAGGAGGATCGGAGGCGGAGAGCTCTCCACCCGGCGCTGGAGAAAGGATAAGTTTTAACCCCTTTCCTCTCCCCAGAGCCGGGCGGGAGTGGGACCCTGAGGGTGGGGGCATCCTCAGGGCACTATAGTGCCAGGAAAACGAGTATGTTTTCCTGGCACTATAGTGGTCCTTTAACCCCTTAAGGACACATGACATGTGTGACATGTCATGATTCCCTTTTATTCCAGAAGTTTGGTCCTTAAGGGGTTAAGGGTGTACTCACTTTTGTTTCCAACGGTTTAGATATTAATGGCTGTGTGTTGAGTTATTTTGAGGGGACAGCATATTGACACTGTTATACAGGCTATACACTTACTACTTTACATTGTAGCAGAGTGTCATTTCTTCAGTGTTGTGACATGAAAAGATATAATAAAAATATTTACATAATTGTGAGGGGTGTAATCAATTTTGTGAGATACTGTATATGTATATATTCTATTTATTTATTTATTTATTTTTGTGTGTGTGTGTGTGTATTTATATCTATATAAAACCAGGGTGCTGCACTTACCTGAACATGCATAAATGGGGTGCTGCTGGGGGCCAATTTATACAATATACAAGATCCAGCGCACTCACTTATCCACTAAACAGCAACTTCAATGATGACAGATTTTCTTCACTTTTTTTTAAATTAATTTATTTTTTTTCAAACACCTAATCTAGGGCAGAAAAAATAAGCAATGGCTAGAATATTGTTACGTTTTATAAAATGTAATCACTGTTTCGCCAACAGCGAACAAATGCCAGCCTATGAGTGCCTTGAATGAATATAGGCTGATTGCAATACTTTTTCTCAATCCAACTCTTAAACTCAGGTGCATTAGGAGAACAGTTGATTGCCCTTGGTAACAATACAAAGCTACTGTTACCATTACATATCTCACTGAGAAGTCGGAAAGATCCTTGTTTAGAGATTGAGGGCCATCGGCTGTCCTCGCAATGTTTGGTTAATAGAGTTTCCATGGAAACAGCCTTTTTTATACCTGTTGCAGAGGTTGACAGACATAAAATGAGTTATACAAGGCAAACTCCTTGCCAGTTTGCATTGGAGACCCCTTAGGTAACAAGAAGGTTAACTATATAATGGCTGAAAGACCACATTTCAAAATAGTCAACATTTTCACAATTTGTTTCATCTAATTTGGTTTTGGCAGCAATGGGAGTGTACTGTGGAGTTTTTTGTTTGTTTGTTTTTTAATTGCAGTAATGCTGCATGTTATCGCGGCTGCAATATTTTCAGACTATAACTAGTTGTGGTATTGTTGGAAAATTTGAATTAAATGGCTAATCTATGTAAAAGGAAATGGTCACACGTCAACAGATGTCCAGTTTGCAATTGAATAGAACAAAATGACTATATTTTTATGCGATATGTGAATGATGCATTCAGATTGATACTTTGAATATCTCAATTGTAAAAAAAATAAAAATAAATGGTTGTATCAGGCATGACCCAGATCTGTTTTAAAATTTCTAAAGGATGTTTTTGAAAATAGAATTACACGTGTATGTATTTTTTTAATCAGGCTTTGGGATTTTATCAAATGGTACCTTCTCAATTTGGCCATCAACACAATTAATGGACCTCACAACCTAAAATTATTTTATCCTCCATGAAAATATTTAATTCAAGTGATGAGGAGGCCTCTTATGCAAATGCTTTCTTTAAAAATGACAGGAAATAGCAAAACGTATTGGAATGATCGATGGGGAGCAAAAATGGAGGCACCCAGTTAGGATAGATGTAAAAACAAACATGTGGATTTTGACATTTTATTTTATTTACCAAACTAACAAATACATGGGGAGTTGTTCACTAAATTCTATATTGTACCAAATAAAAAAACTGGAACTGAGGCTGAAATAGTTGATATGGAGAGATTCTCCACTTTAAAATTAGTCACAGCAAGACTATTTTAGCCTTAATTTAACTATTTCAACTTCAATTATCAGCATCTGTAGTTTAGTGACTAAATTAGTTTGTTAAAGATTTAGCATAAGTAAACTAAATAAAAAATCCTGGGCAGTGATGGTTGCCCTTTAAGTAATATGTAAGTTAGTTGTATAATGTGCACACAGTGTTTATGAGATAATAGCCAGTTTCTTTCTTTTTGCTATTAGCAATTCTTTAATTACACCCTTTTGAATTCATAGCATTGGAACGTGAAGGGTAATGTTAGGTTGTAAGCGTCTAATTGTTTCCATATTACATTAACTGCAGTGAAGTCAATTTATGGACGTGTTACGGAAATTGGAATAAAATTATCGGAGATATATAATATGGTATAAGTCCGAAATCCAAATAAGCGATGTCTAGTCAACAACAGAAATCCTCTAGGTCAGAGACGGTCAAAAGGAAATGCCTATTATACTTGGCCTTACAGCTTGAAAATCAAACTAGGACGTATACTTCTACAACAAATGGAGAATGAAGATTGGCTTGATGATTCAGAGCAGTAGGCAATCTTTGGCACACCAAATGTTGTGGACCAGATCTCCCCCGATGCTTTGCCAGCTTTATGCCTGTAAGATTATTATGGAAGATGTAGCCAAAGGTTGCCTACCCCCGATCTAGATGTTTTAGAATTGCAACTTTTAGAATTCTGTTAGTCATGGGTTTGCAGGGTAAGTTGAGTTGTGCTCTTGAAGTGGGTGCCCAGTTTAACACACTTGATCTGGGTAGCATGCTTTCCAGTATTGAGAGGTATGAATTTGGGATGAGAGTGAGAGGAACACAAGAGGGAGGGCCAGGGATGAGACCATGGGTGAGTCTGCTAAAAAAGAAAAAGGTCCTAAAAAGAAAGAGAAGGTGTCCATCTGGCATGTATGATTGGCAAGTGAGCTAGCCAGCCTAATTTAGGGATGTCCATGTGCAAAATGCTTTCTGGGGACCTTATCTCTAGTCTCCCCAGATATGGGACATTGAAAACTAAACCAGGATGGAGGGACAGGAGCTCAATTTGAGACTGTCTATCTAAATCTAAGACTCTTGGGAGTTGGGAGGTATGTAATAGATTTTCTTCTTTTTACTTTCTCCTCTCAAAAACAAATAGCAACAAATATTGTAACACGTAAAGACATTAATAGACACGTCACAGCTTTAAATGGAAATTTCAAGAGCAACCAACATTTTTTAAATATTTGGTTCCTTTAATATAATCAGTGTTATTCCAATGTTTATTCATAAATAAGTAAAACGTCACATTTTACTCCTTAAAATAGAAAATGGGCATCCTTTTCCTTTCACGTTTTATTGACAGTGTTGCTAAATGGTGATATTTTACCAACGTGGCAAAAATAACATACTAAATTATCATATTAATTTCCCAACTGACAGATGTTCACTCTCTGTCCTTCCCCCAGAGACCTTCTCGAATTCTCAGCTGCCCTCACAACAAGCGAACCGTACTGCAAAGAAAATAGAATAAGCCAATTATCTTCTCTACGAGGCGCACACATCCAGAACAGTCACATCTCTCTATCAAAATAACAAACAGCCCCCACGCTTTCCAATACAAACTAAACACTTGGATCTTTGGCATTTCATTCTATCACCAATTAAACCTCGTTTATCAATAACGCCCTTCCATTTACACATCTCCAGGCTCATTTTAAAAGCAGAAAATTAGATGTCTTCCTTTTGCTGTACTACATAAGTTGATATGGGAGGACGGATAAGCCTTTGTGATGACAGAAGTTACAATGTTTGTATCAATTGGAATATATTGAATATGTTTGATAGCTTTTTATGGAAAGCTATATCTCAGATTGGTGTAAGCTGGTTGGTTTACCTTTAATTCATGATTAGAGCACACAACTGCTTTTGCTTCATACTATACAATGCTGTGTGTGTGATGCCCCCTGTTCGTAGGCCCTTCACAGCAGAAAAAGTAGTTCTCTTTTGTCTTATTGTTGTGATTTAAAGGGACACTATAGGCACCCAGATCAATTCACCGCATTGAAGTGATCTAGGTGCATTGTCCCGGTCCCCTTAACCCTGTAATGTTTTAATACTGCCTCTAGTGGCTGTCTACCAGTTAGCCACTAGTGGCGCTTCCTGCAACTTCACTGAGTTTTACTCTGTAAAATGACGCTGGACATCCTCACGCTTTGCATGAGGACATCCAGCGTGCTGAAAATCTCCATAGGAAAGCATCAATTCAGTTCTTTCCTATGGGGAAGGCCTAACGCGTGAACGGTGCTTGCCGTCCATGTGCATTAGGTTCGGCTGACAATGGAGGAGGAGGCTCCCAACTCAGAGCTTAGGGACCTCGGTGCTGGAATAAGGGAAGTGTTTAAAGGGTTATTTCATCCTTCACATGGCTGGGAGACCGGGGACAGAGGTGCACTATAGTGTTAGGAATGCTGCTGTCTCACTAACACTATAGTGTTCCAATCCAATACTCCCAAATCCTGCTTGTAGTGATAATGAAGGAAATTTGAACGCACTAGAATTACCATCTATTAACAGCAGCGATGATATAGGCAGTGCAGACGCTGTAGAATTGTGGATACTGTGGATGTGGCCTCTAGGTGAAGGGTAAGATCCCTGTAACTTTTCAACACTGCTAAAATGAGCATTGGCATCTAACACGCTCATAACCACTACAGAACTCGGAAGGAACTACAGGGTATTTCAGTTTATATGTGAGCATTTTAACAATGTTCAGTGTGTGGACAGCTACGATTAACTATCCTGTTTCACAGCCTCATACCGCCCAAAAATAGGTGTCCCATAAAGCACCATTGGGTGGGGTAAAATGGGGACGGCCAGTGATGATAACTTCCCAAATGGAATGGACCCACCAATGTCCGAAGAATAGTCATGTCATCCTGGTGGGAGTGAACACCAGGCTGGGGTGGGCTGGGGGCAAGGGAGAATTTCCCTCCGCGCGCTACCCAAATTTCTAGCCATACCAGCTGGCAGAGGCTGCTATCTTAGTAGGCAAGTTAGGCAGCCACTTAAGGCCTCGTAATGACTGGGCCTTGCGGATGCCTAACTTGCCTTAGGGCAGACTGATTTGCCAACTGCCAATCATTTAAGCATTCTTTCAGTACTCTCTGCATGGTCCTAGTGCCCCAAGACCATGACACGAGTACCTCTAATGATGGACTCTCATTGTGCTTTCTAGGGACAGTGCAAAAAGCAGGACACCAGGGAACAAACTGTTGGGACAAGACCCCAAAATAGTTGTGAGATCCGCAGCCTGCCAAACAGGCGCCCATGCATGCCAAGGTGACACCCTCCCTTTTAAAAGGCATGTTTTCTGTGATGCTAAGTAGCCTTGTGGGCACGCCTACCAACAGGCCACTAGGCTCCAGCTTGCTGCGTACAATAATTTTTCTTTCCTCTATCAATGCTGCTTTTCTGGAGCACTGGACAAGGCCATTTCACAATGGGAAGAGTCTAATGAAGATGCTTTTTTTTTAATTTTTTTTTTTTTTATCCTGAATGGATTTGATCATTTATCATATTAGAATGTATTAAACTAATTTTATCATTAAAAATGGGCCTCCAAGCTAATGCCTTTAAAAAAAAAAAAAGGTCTCAGAAAAAGAGAATTAAGAAGCACTGACAGTCCTACTAGGACTATTACAATAAATAGAATTTTATATTATTTTGGCTACAATTTATTTGTGTTCACTCAAAGCAGAAAGAAGACCGTAAATGGAAAGAAATATTGTTTGCTCAATGCCCATCAGCCCCAAGTTTCAGATACAGGCATTGAGTGTGTTAGTAGGGGGACAATCACAGCTCTATAATGTCCAATGTAAGGTCCCTTTGTATTGTCACATTCCCTTTAACCCTCGGCGTTCCATTCCCCAGCGCTGTGTTCAGAGTGGACGCGCAACAGCGCCGAGGATGCAGTGGGGCTGAGAGGGTCGCTGCGCAGCTAGAGCGCGCATTACGGTAGAACGCTGGACCAGATCCTGGTGCCGCAGCAGCAGGAGAGGCAGCATTAGAAGGAGCCGAGCATCCCATTCCCAGGAGCCAGCGCCCCCCCACCTCCAGCCATGGCCAAGGAGCGGCCGGAGAAAGCCGAGGAGACCGAGCAGATGATCGAAAAGGAAGGAGCCAAGGAAGGCCTGGAGGCCACGGCAGCCGGGGATGGCAAGGATATGAGAGCCGTGCTCCTCTCTGGCTTTGGGGGGCTCAACAAGCTGAGGGTGGCCCGAAAAGTCATGCCCGAACCCCAAGAGGGCGAGCTGAAGATCAGAGTCAAAGCCTGGTCCGTTACCCCTTTATTATTCCATCAGGGACCCCTTAGTATTCAATGGGCGGAGGTGCAGGGGTTAAATCCACCCTTTTCAACTCTCTGGCAGCGAGGGGGTTAAGCAATTGGGAGGCTTCTGGTGGTGAAAGGGTTACTTTGTCTTTGATAGCATGGACTGGATGGGAGCTAGTCAGTTAATTTAAAGGGTGCCACCCTGGTGGTAAGTGCTGTCACCCACTGGGTGTGAACCCTTGCTTTAACAGGTGCCATTGTGGGTCAACGTACTTGATACAGTCTGTTGGTTTCCATGGCAATTGCTCCTAAATTAGCACTTTGCTTCAGATTTTCTTATTTGTATTTATTAATTGTTTTGCCTTGATGCACATTCGCCCTAAGTGTTTTGCTTTTTGGTATGTTGTCAAGGGACCTTGTTTGTTTACTGTGGTCATTAGGGGCAGTGATTGGGTTAATGGATTGAATTTTCTTTCTTAACCTGTTGATTGTGCTTCCCACAGCAATATTTATATCTGGTTTTAATTAATTCTACAGTAGAGTTAATCAAAAGCTGGAATCCCAGCTGTAATTCATCTATAGCAATGCATCTTGGGAATTATAGTCTTTCCCCCCCCCCCTTTGTAATATTTTGAATGTCAGAGTTTTAAAATATACTGCAAACACTATATATAGGCAATGGTAAAGGACACCAATAATCCTTTTAAAACTAAAAGGTTGACTTACAAGATGGGAGTTTTAGTGCTTTTTTTTTTTTTTTTTGTACCAATGTATTGAAATATGCTGCTGTACTCTATTGGGTTAACTTGTTTAACAGGCTCGGGTCACATTTAACCACTAATTAAAGGGACACTTCAGACCTCTAAAACATTTTATGTTGCTGAAATGCATAATGTGTGAAGAGTGTCCTCTCTTTTTCCATCTTACAGAAAGTGCAGATTTCAATAGAAATTGACACTTTTATAAATTAACCTTGTTACACCCCTCTGGTTGTCAATCAGAAAATTGGTCATGTTACTTCCTGGTTTGTTTAGCTCAGTGGAGCAATTTCCCAGAGCACCTGCTGTCTCTCAGGTTTATTTACTACAGTAGTTTTCAAATTTTAGACAAAAATAGCTAAACGGAAGGCAAAACGAGTAAGACTTTTTCCAATAAAACTATATTGACCTTAAATTTTAAGTATCTCTCCAAATATTCACTTTATTGAATTACCTGCATGATTGAGCAGCCTGGGCACAGCAAGTCTGGAGTGGTTTAGGAGAGGGCTTGCAAAGGTTTTAAGTTGTTTCTAGAAATCCCCTCAATGAAATAATGCATACTGAAATGCATGCATGTTCTCATTGGGAAAATATCCACTAAAGTGATGTTTGTTTTATTTATTTGGCCAATTGGAGTCCCCCTTTAATTTAAATTGGGTACATGGGAGACTGAGGGGTTAACAATTGGACTATCATAGCAGGAGATTCCATACATGTTACCATGTATAACGTGTGTGTGTGTGTTGTATTAAATAATCAGAATAACGTTTAGGAATTTAAACTTTAAATTTGGAAATGCTTTATTTTATTTTAAAAACAGAACCTTGTGGTCCAGGCATAGAGGGTAATTATTTGATGCAGGCATATTACTGTGTAGGCACAAAAATATGTCAAAACCTAAAAGAAAAAATATCCCTCTGTTCTAGATAACCCCACATTTCCAGTAACTAGCATGTTAATCAAATTGGTCAAAACCATTATTAAGTGTAATTCATTAAAGTAAGAATTGATGTGAGTTTAAATGTGCAATATGGGCACCATAACCACTTAATCTCATAGTTCTTATGGGTGCCGTATTACCTGAAAGGGAAACTATAGTGCCAGGAAAACATTGTTGTTTTCCTGGCACTATAGCTCCCTATAATGCCTCCCTTCTGTCCTTTACCTGATTGCAGCGCCGATGTCCCTAATGCTCCGAGGAGACCTAATGCTCACTCGCATTAGTACCTTCCCCACCCCCATAGGAAAGCATTTCTAATGCTTCCTGTGGGGTTTTATATGACACTGGAAGTCCTCATGCATCAAGTCACCTAACGACCCGGAAGTCCCTCTAGTGGCTGTCTAGTAGACAGCCACTAGAGGCGGAGTTAACCCTACAAAGGTCATTATTGCAGTTTTTAATGAAGGAACCTGGGGCTATGCACCCAGACCACTTCATAGTGTCCCTTTAAGGAGTTAAACCGTTTTATGAATGGTTTAACCCAAAAGTTGAGTAGACGCTGCTCAACAGTGACCACTTTGCCCCTCTTCTTCTCATATTCAATGAGGCAGCCTTTGACTGGGCTCCGGTGAGTTGACCTTTTCAGTCTATTTCTAACTTCCCATTGAGGAAACCGTGTGAGAAGTTCATACTTTAGTGAATAGCATGTTATTTTGTTATTTGTCCCTGTATCTTGTATTGATAATTGACTCTTCAGTTTTTTTGCTCCTTTCTCTTACGATTAGATACCACCACCCATGAGCTTGTTTACATTTTGCAGTTAGAGATACATTTATTTATCATGTTTACTATTTAAAGGTCTGATAAGTTTGTTGTTAATGTTTCTGTTACATTAATGCTTTATGTTGCATTGCATCTCTTTAAATTGATACATGTTTAGATGGATTAGATGATTTCATTTCCAGGAAGTGATGCGATTAGAGATTATGATGCCCAGAATGGAAAAAGCATTGGTCGTGTTTCAGCTTAATACAAGCAAAATTAAGCCGTGGCAGTCTGTATGTGTGTGTCAGGCTGAGAACGCGCGTTTAAGTAGGAGATTAAGATGCTGGGGTATTTTGAAGTGAAAGGGGGATTAGATATTGTAAAATGTCTGGAATCTCAGTGCTTCGTGTCGAAGGTGATCTGCCGTTACTCTGATGCACAGAGTGCTGTAACTATTGTTTTTAAAAAAATTATATTTAGGTGTGCGCGTTTAGTTTAAGTGTATAAAATTTTCTATTCTATAGATCACTGCTAGACAGCAATTTTCTTTCTACCTGTTGTGGAACTACAGCCCAAGTTGCCCAGCCAGAGACACCTCTTTGTTCAGAATCACCACTGAGCATTATGGGGCTTTTAGTACCAAGGGGGGAGCTATGATCTGCTTCTGATGACCTAGATCGGGTACTCTAGATGTTGTGGACTATATCTCCCTAATGCTCTTACAGTCATAATGTTGGCAAAGCACCAGGAGACATGTAGTCCACAACATCAAGAGTGGCAAAGGTTGTCTACCCCTCACCAGAATCATAACTCCCGACTGTTTCAGATCTTAAAGGAGCCCTATAACTACTGTAGCTAGCTGTTGAATTCCATCATTATTTAAGTTATCTATAAAGAGCAACAGTTTACTTTATAGTTGTGAGACTAACAGACTAACCTAATATACCCAGATTCCGAGGACCATAAGCTTTGATCGAGTTCCTTTTGGAACATTATACATTACAGTGGTTCTTTCAAGGATCCCAGTGAAATGGTTTATGGGCCTGTGTTTTGGCCCTTAACACCATAAGGCTATATCACCGTGAATTAATCACTGAAACGTCACATAAAAATACATACAAAAAAGTAAAAGCACACACAAAAAAAAATAAAAAAAATAAATGAATATTACCCTTTTTTGGTGAGTAATCCAGTGAACTACTGGAGATCTAAGATCAACAAATGAGAATACTTCTCATAGTTTATCATATTTTAAACATTTTGTATAAAAACACATAGAGGTTTAAGCGGCACTTAACTTTCCCTGATCACTTCCTTTTCTCTTCCTCTCTCAGAATCTGTTCTTCTTTTCTTTATTTCTGATCTAGTTTTATTTAAAAATAAAATAGGTAGGGACTACTGTGATTTATTTTTCCTACGCCTGACTTTCTCGGACACAAGGATTAACTTAAATCCGCTCCATTTTCTGCGTCATACTCGCGCTTTTTTTGATGTTCTTGCCTGAACATAATTTGCCATTTCTGAATATCCTGTCATTTAGACTAGGGTGCTGGCAAAATGATCAAATTTCGCCAAATAGAATGTAAACAATACGTCCATCCATTTTTGGGCGAAATTCGGTCCTTATATTCTGTTCAGGATTTATCTTGGAAGAATGAAATTCCGACCTAACACAGGTCTCCCATGCGCCCATGGTGGGGCACATATAATAATTAATGGGGGCATAATATCCCCCTCCAGCCCCCACCTGTACCCAGTGAGTGGGGGCTATTAAACTAAATGGGGGACCTAGTGTCTCCCCAGCCCTCATCCATTAGCAGCAAATGGAGGCCCTAAGAAATAATGGGGGAGGACCTATTGTTACCCCAAGCCCCACCCAGAAGCCGTGGGTGGGGAGGTGGGGAATCTAAGTGATAATAGGGGAACTATTGTCTCCCCCGCAGCCCCCACTCATTGGAGGCAGGTGGGTGCTAATTGTAAAAATAACTACCTCCCGGGACTAACCACCACTCCAAATAAGCACTGAATATATAATTGATCATTTAAAAATTTCGAAATATATACTACTTACCTTGGCTCCAGCACCATCATCACCCTAGTTCTGTGAGGGTTGCATTATTTTAAAATGCTATCCGTGCTGCAAAATGTTCCAGACATCAAATATTGCAAGTAAACATTTCAAATATTTTTTTGTAAAAAAAAAAAAAGCAAATTCAGTATTTACTCGCCAGTAACTGTTTAATTAGGCTAACCAAACCTTTTCGAACAAGGCAGCTGTTTTAAGTAATACGATTCTATGTTTAGTGTCATTTTTGGATTTATAATAGGGTTTTTAAATTTCAGTTTTGTTTTGGAATATGGATTAAACATTTTACACTTCTCTTTCTGGTTAACCCCTTCCCTCCCAGCAACATGTATACAAAGGCTATTTTTTGTTTTGCAAAGTAAGACTGAAACCTATAAAGAAAGCCCAGCTACCTCTCTTTTAGCTCCAGCATTGGTGTTCACACTGCAGAGTATTAAATTTCTATGCTAGTGCTTTATCTCTCTGCATAACTGCAAATGGTTCACCCTCCATTTATTACTCTTTGGCAGCCCATTTCCATAAATTGTACCCCTCATATTTAGTGATATGTTTGTAATTAATATAGCTGCTGCTATTTCAAAAGTATACATTTTTCTCTGCCCTAGAATTCACTGCTTCTTCTACTCCAAGGCTCCCCTGCTTTTCCTCTGCCCAAGGTGTGTGTATATGAATATATCTCAGATGCACTCACTGACACACAGACAGGGCCGGCGCTACCTGTAAGGCGGACTAGGCAGCCGCCTAGGGCGCCCCTTGGGAAGGGGCGCCGCCAGGAGCGCCGGCCCCACTCATGCTGCAGCCGCCCAAGCGCTCTGTAGTGAGCATCAGGCGGCTGCAGCTTTTCCCAGGCGGTGCGTCCATGAGGGCGGACTGCACCGCCCGGGCGCAGCCTGAGGAGAGGGGCTGACAGGAGGGAAGCGCTCAGCGCTCCCTCCTGTCACTCCCTCTGTAGTAGCGTGGCCGAGCCCAGTATAGTCGGCGGGTACAGGGAGCAGCTGTCTGCTGTACCCGGCCGGACTAACAGGAAGTGCACACTCAGTGTTCACTTCCTGTTGATCCCTTGAGCCTGAAAACACTTTCCCTGTACCCATGACCTCCTACTAGGCTTCAGCTTCTGCACTCAAACAGAGAGGAGGAAGAAAAGAGAGGAGGGAGAAAGAAACGAGAGGAGGAAGAAAAAGAAACAGGAGGAGGGAAAAGAAGCAGGGAGGAGGAGGGAAGAAAAGCAGGGAGGAGGGAGGGAAAAGAAAAAGAGAAGCAGGGAGGGAGGGGAAGAAAGAACAGGGAGGGAGGGAGGAGGGAGGGAAGAAACAGGGAGGGAGGGGAAGAAGAAACAGGGAGGGAGGGAAAGAAAGAAAGCAGGGAGGGAGGGGAAGAAAGAAGCAGGAGGAGGGGAAGAAAGAAAGAAACAGGAGGGAGGAAAAGAAAGAAACAGGGAGGAGGGAGGGAAGAAAGAAACAGGGAGGGAGGAGGGAAGAAAGAAACAGGGAGGGAGGGGAAGGACAGGAGGGAGGGAGGTGGGGGGAAGAAACTAACAGGGAGGGGGGAGACATTGACAGGGAGGGGAATTGACGGGGAGAGAGAAATTGACAGGGATGGGGGAGTGACAGGGGAGGGAGGGGGAATGAGAGTAACAAAGGAGTGGGGGAGAAGAGAGTGACAAGGGAGGGGGGAGAGATTGACATCCATCACACACACAATCACACACAATGCACCCCTTACACACAAAGACAATGAACCCCTTGCACACAGAAAAACACACAATGCATTACACACACAATGCATTACACACACACACAATGCAACCCTTACACACAATGCATCCCTTACACACACAGAAACACACAATGCATTCCTTACACATACTCAATGCACCCCTTACACACCCTCAAAGCACCCCTTACAGACTCACACACTTCATCCCTTACATACACAGAAACACACCTTGCAGACCTTACACATACAAACACAGATTCACACAATGCATTCCTTACACACAAATCAGGACATCCCCTACACACTCCACCCCCTGTGAACAAACTCATTGGTGGAACATGGGACCCAGACCTTGAGCTGTGTAAAGGGCCCCCAAAAAATGGAGCTGCTTCTCGTTCTCCCAGAACATTGATTTTGTGACCACAGTTACAAACAGCCTCCAGAGATCCTGTTATACACCAGACCAGTGGAGCCAGACTGCAGCTAGAGCCCATCATCATCCTCATCTGCTTGTAAGTAGGTAATCTAGTATATTATTCGTGGCACTAATCTCTAATTTACCTCACATTAAAGAAACACTATAGTCCCCAGAACCACTGCAGCTTAATGTAGTGGTCCTGGTGTCTATAGCCTGTCCCTGCAGGCCTTTTAATGTAAACACAGCGGCACTGCAGCACTGCAGCACTGCAGCACTAGCGTTAGTTAACATGGCAGGTCATATGGGTGTGGCATTGTGATGGGTCGGGGGGGGGCGGCAAACTTTTCTTTTGCCTAGGGCGGCAAAAATCCTTGCACCGGCCCTGCACACAGATATAAACACGAATATACATACATATACACACCCTGCCACACATGCAGTTACAATTATACACACATACAGTTACATGCACTCACAAACATGTAGTTGCACAGATGCAAGCACTGACACACATCATTGCACAGACACACTGATATACACACACTGACACACATGCAGATACACAGATACACACCCTGCCACATATGCAGATACAATTATACACACATACAGTTACATATACAGGTCACAATTTTAGCCACCCTCCAGTTTCCTACCTTTTAGGTGCAGGAGACTTCTGCTGTCTGTGGTTGGTTGGAGTTAGCGGCCCCCCTGGAGATGCGCTCCCTCAATCGTATACGGCTGGGTATGAGTGAGAGCGACCTGGGAGGAAGTGCCCGGCTCTCTTTCACTTCAGCTATCCCCTTTGGATTAGAAGGCACTGACCGGTGCCCTCAAGACATATGTCCATCGGATGGCCTTAAGTGCCTGAGACACCCAATGGACCCGCTCACTCTGTTCCCAACCTGAACCACCATTACTTAAAAAAATTGGGAATAAACGTACCATAGGTTGGGAATCCCTGTCCTGAAACCTTTTTGTCAGAGGAGGGGATGCAGGTCTCTAAGCACAATGAGTACAAACAGAGACTCTTTTCAGGCAGAAATAGCTGCATATAAAGCCCCATATAGCACAGATGTTTGCTGCAGCTGTACATAAAGTATATATGGATTTTACCCCCAAAATGTTTTTATTTTTTTAATTTTTTTTACTGGTTATTTGTACATTTCTATTTTAGTTATTGTCACACTTTTATATGGGACAAAAATTGTGTTTATAATTACGACTTCCATAATGGATTCTGTGTAATATATATATAAAATGAAGCATAAAGGTTGTCTAATGTAGATATATTCTATATATTTTTTTAAATCGCTCCAATCATTACTACATCACACTGTGCCTACCACCCCCACAACTGTAAGTATTTGGTTTTATAGCCGCTATAGCTCTCATTGGCTGCATGTGATCAGCTGACTCTCTCTCAACCAATATGTGTTTAGCTCAGGATTGGAGGTGGAGAGTGGAACCCAAACCATTCTCAGAACTGTTTGACTCCTTACACTTCGGAGGCTCTAGAGCAGTTTTCCTGAAGGCACACCTAACAGTCCAGGATTTAAGGATTACCCGGTGACTAAAAAAATAAAAATAAACCTTAGACACACCCAGGTAATCCCTAAATGCTGAACTGTTAGGTGTGCCTTGAGGAGCACTGCTCTGGGGAACTGTTGGCACCATAACCACTATTTTGTGCTACAGTGATTATGGTGCTTGAATGGTTCCTTTAATTATCTATATGCAATCTACAGATGAAAGTGTGGTTGTTTCCGAAGATTATGTGCTAGTCAAAGACTTGTTTACAAATAGACTGACTAGGCATAGATTCAGGCAGCAGAGTAGAGTAGTAGTAGCTGATCCAGTTATCTTTTTGACTCTCTGTCACTCTCATCCTATCACTGGTTTCCCATTAAGGGAAATGTTTTAAAAACCCACATATGTTTTGAATGTATGTGAAGCTATAGTCCCAAAAACCACAAAAGTTATTTTGGGACTATAGACTCCCTTCTTGCAGTGTGCTTACTGTTCACCCCTCCTTTGCCTTGTAAAAATTATTCTAAATCCGCAACAAAATATATCACTGGTACCGGCTAGGCATCCCACGTTTTAAATAAATGCTATAGTACATTTCTAAACACAAAGAGCTTGGTTGTGAAGGGATTCGGACTATGGCAAAGCAATTATCAAATGACTTTTTAGATTTCTAAAGGGTTTGTCACACATGTGACTTGGCTTAATGAGTGAATTAGAAACGGAGCCTGGGAAAAGATTACCACTTTTATCTTAAAATAAAAAAAATGGATATGAGAGAGCTTGTAATCGTGAATGTGATTTATCCTTTGAATGGATTGAACATGTGGTCCTAGAAAGTACAAATTGCTACTAACAATAGGGCAATAGTAGATTAAAAGGGACAGCACACTAAATTTTACTCTTTGAAAATCTGTACAGTTAATTTGTTTTGTGTAATTATGGAATCTATTAAAACTCTGTGCAACATATTTACAAGAAATCATACTTAAAGTCCCCTGGCACTGCCCCTCTATTCAGTATTAAAAATGGAGCAGTTTAACAATGGATGAGGGTCCCTGGCTTCCCATAGCCCTCCCCCACTGGAAGTATGGCTAAGGCAAAGATTACACACCTCCTTGTATCCATCCCAACTCGTACCAGCAATAAGAGCTGTGATAAGCTAGATGCATACTCTCTCAGCCAATCACAGCCACACATTGCTGCTCAAGCTATCACTTCCTCGTTAGCCCGAGTAGCACAGAGGGGATGAGTTGCTAGTGACTCTCATTCAGCATTAAAATGTTAAAAACCATTTAATTCTGAATTGAAGAGCAGTGCCAGGGGACTACAGACACTATAACCACTTCAATGAAATGAAGCATTGTACCTTTAAATACTGCTCGGCTAAAGGGAGGAAGGCCAGCCAGTTGATAGAAAGTGTGGGCTGAGCGCACGGGCGGGAGGATCCTGGAAGATTGAGGCAGACTGTCAGGCGCGCGAGGGAGCTGTAATCTCCCTCCCTGTTCTGCTCTGCTCTGTTCCCTCGCGCGTCCTCCAGTGATGCCAGGAGCTGGAAAATGCTGTCATTCCGGCCCCAGCATCACTAAACTATGGTGTAGAGCAGGGAGATGACTGGACCCCAGGGAAAGCCGAACCACTCCAGCTCCAGGTAGGGACGCTGGGTGGTCACCTTAATGTGTGTTGTTATTGCAGTGAGTGTGTGTGTGTTTAGGTGACCGGTCCTCCTCCAATCATATGGGAAGGGGTTTTTACTCACCTTTTTCCCCCCACGCTGTGCTAGTCTTGCTGCAGCTGGCCCTGCCTCCATGACTGCGATCATCAATATTGAAGATCTCAGCCAATTAAATGCTTTCCCATAGGAAAGCATTGGGAGGCTATTGCGCATGTGTGGCAAAACGCCATGCTGCGCCAATCCGCATCTCCCCATAGAGATGAATTGAATGCATCTCTATGGGGAACACTGAGTGACTTTCACTAGAAGTGTTACTAGGCAACAATGTAAATACTGCCTTTTTCTCTGAAAAGGCAGGGTTTACATTGAAAAGTTTGGAGGGACAGGTTATATACACGAGAACAACTACATTAGGCTGTAGTGGTTCTGGTGACTATAGTGTCCCTTTAAGAATTCTATGACATTGAAAAACCTGGCTCCTAACTTTTTTTGCTGGCTCCTAGATTCAAAGCAAATGTGTCAAGTCCTGGTCTGTAGTGGCCCTTTAATAAAGGAAGGCATATAACAAAGACACCACAATGTTTTCAAGCTGCTGAGTGTGACTTTTCAATTTTTGAATACCCACAAATAGCCACGTTCTGCCATTCCTCTCATTGACCTCTAACAACTCTCAGTACAGAATCATATTCTATAATGAATGACTCAGCTCTAGAGAATCAATTGGAGATAGAACATCCATCAGGTTCCCTTTTCTTAGCTATCTGCAATATCCATTTATACGTTCTATAAAGCAGGAAAAACTCATTCATCTGAGATGTCTAGTGCAAAATTCCAGCTGTGACAAAATTATTTTAAATTGATGGTGACTGATGTAGATCGATACAGATGGATATTCTTCTATAACAGCATGATATCATTGAGGTTATGATCCATATATCTTAATGTGTTCATCAATGTGCATTTATGTTTTTTGTACCTGTCAAACACCCAATGTACCTCGTGACATACGCACAGATGTCGGCATTGTAATTCTTTTTTCTGTGTGTGAACGTTTTGCTCTGCAAGTTCTAATCATTATCATAAGTGCACAGTGTTTCATCAGTCTTCCAAAAAAAAAAAAAAAATGAGTCATTTTGTAAGCAAGAAGGAAAGGCCACCAATCCAAAAGCATACGTCTGCTGTGCCGAGATGAGTCACAACCAACCTAGATGGACGCACAGAGGCCGAGCTGATTCATTGCTGCAACATACTTGTTCAAGAAAACCATTTTGAATTAGTTGTTGAAGCAGAACCAGCTGATAGTTCTTAGAATGTTATTTTATCATAAATGGCAGGCTTCCCCAAACTCCGGCCCTCCAGATGCTGCTGAACTACAACTCCGAAGATTCTATGAATGAAATAGATAGGTAGAGAATCATGGGAGTTGTAGTTCAGCAACATCTGGAGGGCTGGAGTTTGGGGAAGCCTGATCAATGGTTTGATGGACCAGGTCAAAACCAATCTTACCTTCAAGGTATAGATGAAAGTGTAAGAGTGTATCAAAGATCGTTGTTTACTGTTAAAAGACTGACTCCAACAAAAAGATGTTAAGATCTCAATCATCGTTCTGCATTTAAAAGGAAAAAAAAAAGCTGTATAAATAATCATAAAAAGGTTGATTTCTGTGTCCCTTGAGCTCGGCTTGTTTTTATCATTCTGATGTCATTCCATTTTCCTTGACCTCATCCAGTCCCTGATTCTGCTTTACCTGTGTGCTGTGTGTTTTGCCCACCTGGGCTTTAGTGTTAACCCCGTCACAAGGATTGGTAATACATACTGTTTTACTTTTTCTATCCTGGTTGCGTATTAATCTGGTCTCTTGTTTTCTGCATCGCTGGGTAACTAAACCTGACAAAGAGTTTTTGCCTGAAACAGGCTTACTCAAAAGAAATGAAAAATGGTGAATTCTAACTTACAATTTTCAGAGCTTATAATTGTCAGATAATGAATGGGCACAGAAACAGACACTTAGGTTAGAGTGTCTGGTGAATGTTCTCATTGTAACAGGAGGTTTGGGGAATACTAATATTTTTTCAAGTGGAACTCATTGGCTTTAATGGGGACCCATCTCATAAATGGAAATTTAATAAAATGTGCATTGGATGAGCTCTCCAGCGTATTGTGTAGAAAAAGTACATATAGACGAGAAGCACACACTGTAAGCCTCATTTTAGTGCTGAAAATTCCAATATTTTATATTATATTTAATTGAACCCTAAAGAGGCATTATAACTGTTAGAATTTATGGTAGTGGTTATGGTGTAGTGAGCCCCAGCATTCAACGTCTAGCATCCACGCATCATCCAATATTGTGGATGATTTATTTTTGAATTATCCAATCACAGTGCATACAAAAATATAGATGACAAAAAAATTAGTTACACCAACAACAGATAAAAACAAAATGGATAATTACTCACTCGCGTCTGGCCATGGGGACTCCGGCAAGGAAAGATGACTCATTCAAAATTATATTTTGGCCATAAGCAAGTACAATAGATATTTACATATGATTTGGATATATACACTCTGCATTCATCTAAAATTTCCAAGCCTGACCCAAAGATAAGGCATATCTATAGAAACTATAAGTGACCACCTCTGCGTGTTCCGGACCAATTTCAACCCAAATATCTCATTTTATGTGATTGCCACAGAAATCATAATTGCATCTATGAACTTGTTGCAGTTTGTCCATTCCATATGTCACATACCCTACCAGGACCTAATATAATGGACATCACAATTTCTTCCAAACGGCTTAAATTGCACTAATCATGTCTATGCTTGTTTCCAACATTGTGCTTGTCCCATTCTAAATATGCACAACATGAGGCTTAATTATTAATCTGTGGGTTATTAGTCATGTTTCTTTTTGGATATGATTCTGATATGACACTGGGACACAAGGGTCTTTTGATATTCTAATTAACATGTCAAGAAAAAAAATCCACTATCTAACAAGTTACAGGCCAGATGGTCGAAGACAGTTAGTTTACATTGAAGCGCGGTTTACTGATGAGCAACATTTCACAGTTTGCTGAAGCCTTGGTTTATCAAAAGCGCAATTAATTTCACACCTTGCAGAAGCCTTGCCTGTTCATGTTGTAAACCATCTGACCTCTATCACATTCCTATATAATTTACGTTAACCCGTTCTGACATTTGTCCTCTACCAAGTGGCCAGTTCGTAAATGCACTACACAAGTTACATGAAATTGCAAAATTCCATAGTGCAACAATTCATTATGTATCCTTGCCATGACACAATATTATCAGTAACTGTACACTGATCAGCCACAACATTAAAACCACTGACAGGTGAAGTAAATACCATTGATTATATTGTTACAATGGCACCTGCCAAGGCAGCAAGTGAATAGTCTGCTCTTATTGAAAGCAGGAAAAATTGAACAAGTGAAAAGAACTGCGTAACTCATGATAGTGATCTATATCCAACTGGGTCAGAGCATCTCCAAAATCTCCAAAAAAGTCTTGTGGGGTGTTCCTGGTAGATGTAGGTTAATCACAGTGCCATGATTATCCCTGTCCTCCAACGCTGGTGTCAGAACTGTACCATGGAGCAAATGGACAAGATTGCATTGTCTGATGAATCCCATTTTCTTTAAGATCAGGTGAATGACGGGTGCATGTGCCTTGTTTACCTGGGAAAGTGATGGCAGCAGAATGCTCTATGGGAATGCAGGACGATGGAGGCCTTGGGCAATGTTCTGCTGGAAAATATTGGGTCCCGCCATTCATGTGGGTGCTACTTTGACATACCAATTACCTGGAGATTGTTGCACACCACGTACACCCATTCATAGCAATGGTGTTTCCTGATGGCTTTGGCCTCTTTTAGCAGGATAAAATAGCCTGCCACATTTCAAAAAGTGTTCAGGAATGGTTTGAGGAACATGACAAAGAGTTCAAGGTGTTGCCTTGAACTTTAAATTCCTCAGATCTCAATCAGATTAAGCATCTCTAGGATGTGCTGAAACACTAAGTTCGATCTATAGAGACCCACCTCGCAACTTGCAGGACTTAAAGGACCACTATAGTGCCAGGAAAACATACTCATTTTCCTGGCACTATAGTGCCCTGAGGGTGCCCCCACCCTCAGGGCCCCCCTCCCGCCGGGCTCTAGTGGTTAAAGGGGTTAAATTTACCTATTTTTCCAGCGCCGGAAACTCTCTCCTCCTTGTCATCATTGGCTGAATGCGCATGCACGGCATGAGCCGTGCACGCATTCATCCAGTCCATAGGAAAGCATTTTCAATGCTTTCCTATGGACGCTGGCATCTTCTCACTGTGAAAATCACAGTGAGAAGCGCCTCTAGCGGCTGTCAATGAAACAGCCACTAGAAGCTGGATTAACCCTATTATAAACATAGCAGTTTCGCTGAAACTGCTATGTTTATAGAAGAAACGGTTAAACCTAGCTGAACCTGGCACCCAGACCACTTCATTAAGCTGAAGTGGTCTGGGTGCCTATAGTGGTCCTTTAAAGGCTCTGCTGCTCATGTTTTTGTGTATATTATTAGACACTGATATTATTACACCAATCTTCCCTAAACTATGACTCGAGTGTTAGGAATACAAACCTGTATTCCTAACGCTATGATGTCTCTGTCTCTACTTGAAAAAACCACCCCACTCCCCTGTACATTAAAATAAAATTGTTTAAAGTTGTATTTACCTGATGAAGTGATATAGGTGACTATAAGTGTCTCTTATTACTAGATGAATTGCAGTTGTTCTGGAAAATAGAAAATACTAGCATTTCCCTCAAATGCGTAAACAGGGAAAGCCTATCCAGATGAATCGAGGTGGTCACAAAAGTAGGGGGAGCATCCGGAGGGTACAGCCTGTACTGGGAGCATTACTGCTATGTGGTGTGGTTCGGGAGATGTTACGGAACACTGACAGACTGGACTTCTACACTAGCACCCTCAACTAATCTGACATTATTTCTTGCTTTAAATTTGGGCATTCTGGGCCCCAATTTTGAATTATGTGATACCAGTGGTAGAAGGCCATGGACATAGGTTGCCTAGCTATGTCTCCAAAAATCTGATATTCGAATATATAGTTTTGAGGTAGGGTGCTGTATTAAATTTTTAAACCTCTTCTGATTCCAAGTATATTTAAATATAATAAAATAGTTTTAACAATATGTTAACTTATCCCCTACATTAAACAAATATGTAATTGTGAGGGGTGAAAAATAAAATGAAATGTAAAATTCTACACCTTTTTTATACTGCAACTGAGCACCTTAATCTTGGTTCCCTGACAGTCATTGCAGTCATTACCTTTCACACTGGCCTTACTCCCCCATACCTCTCCAGATCTCTGTCAGGGCTGCCGGCGGGGTGGTTGACGACCGTACAGCTGCCTGGGGGGATTGGCATGCCCGGGCTCTATACCCACAGTGGGCCCACGCCTTGAACTGTGTAAGGGGCCCAAAACTTTTAATGGCAGCCCTGATCACTGTGTTTCCATAACCAGCTTTTCTTGCACTTACAAAGCTATAAGAAGGAACATGCAATGACACTGTGCATGCTCCCTGCTCATACACAATTTCCACCACCAGCAGCAATTACCAGGCTTCCCAACAGGCTCGATTTAGGTGGGAAAATCTCTATTTTTAGGTCCTGTCCCACCAACCCGATATTGTTCCCTGAGTCCTGAATCTGAGAACATCAGGGAACTGTCCCCAGACCGCACAGCTCGAGCACACTTTTAGACATGTTTGCTATGTGCGACGGTACTAGGACTGTGCAGAGAGAGCTTCAACAGTGCTCCCTGCTTGGACCTGTATGTTGGGGGGCCAACAGGAAGGCTGTCCGTCAAACCACTCACATAATGAGTGTGTCACTCTGGAATCAGACACGCCCCCATGTTTTTTTTTCACAGTGACATGCCCCTTTAGTGCATTGTTCCGCCCACTTTCCAGGCTAGCTAGTGGAATCCTGGCAACATAACTACTACAGTGTGTTAAAGTGGTTGTAGTGCTTCAAAAATGTTTCATATTGATATATTGATCAAACATGTTGCAATTTAGGAGTTTATGGGAGTTGTGGTTTACCCTCACTACTAAATAATATACAAGTCATTCATAAAAACCAACATCACTTTTATTATTGAAGCTAATTAGAAAGATGACAGATAAACTTAAATCCTGTGCTTATTAAAGGGACACTATAGTCACCAGAACAACTACAGCTTATTGTAGTTTTTCTAGTGAGTATAGTCAGCCCCTGCAGGCTTTTTGCTGTAAACACTTCCGTTTCAGGCCTCTGGCCCTCTTTTCTATCCTAATGTCCATCTTTCAAGTGTGCCTCTTTGTCCATGTGAAATGTTGGGAGGTATTCTTTCTGGCTTAGGGAAAGATAATGGCTGCAAATTGTTCAGTATATACAGAAATGTAAAAAGGTCTATTTTATTATCTTTAATTCTTTTTCAAATGTGATCTATATTATGCATGAACACTTTTTACTTTAATTTTTTTTTTTTGCATTAATACACAACTAGCTTTCAAAGCAATTTATTTGATACATTGAAAGCGTATAAGTAAGCATTTTGATGGAAAATGTTTTTGCAAACACTTTTTTTTTTTTTTAAACATCCCCATGGCAACAAAGTGACTTTTTTAAAATCATCTCCTTCTGGTCTCGTCTACAGCTAAATTTATCATATTTTTTTTTCTCCTTTCCCAAATTACTCTATTTAGCGGTCTCAATTTCATTGATCTGATGGTTCGACAAGGAAATATAGATAACCCGCCGAAAACACCACTGATACCTGGTTTTGAGTTGGCTGGAATTGTTGAAGCACTGGGAGGAAATGTCACTGGCTTTGAGGTAAATTATTGGTTAACTTTTTCAGATACTTTTTGAATTGACATTATATAATGAGAGGGTTAACTGTGACTAAAAATCACGCCAAAGGTGCACTGTAATCGTTTCTTAATATAACGCGCTAATATATGTATCATCTTAGAAATGGAATTGTGGATTTCCATAATATGTATTTTAAGTCAAAATTATCACCTTATGAAATAAATGTATCATTTATCATATCAAGGGACACCACAACAACTTTAGATTAATGAAGCGGTTTTGCTGTATACATCATATCCCTGCAGTCTCAGTGAACAGTTCTCTGCCAATTAAGACGTAAAGAACCATTTAATCCACCCAGACCACTTCATCTCAATGTGTGCAGTGGCCCTTTAAATGTAACCTTGCAAAACATTGCTGTATTGTAGAATGTGTACAATGTGTTTTGTGTTCTGAGGAACACTGGATTGGGCACCAGTAGCGCCAAGAGAGTCTGTGCACTGAGAAAAAAGGTAAGTAGAACTTTTTAATGCGTAACGATAGTGCCGTAAAACTTATTTGAGATTAAGGTACTATAGCATTAATAATACAGGTTTGTTTTCCTAACGCGATAGTGTTTCTTTAACTAACTTGCTGCTGTTTATGAAGCACTAGTCACTCCTCTCCTGGCTATGAAAAATACAGCTTCCATGGGAAACAAAAAAGGAGGTAGAATGTCTGTCAGCATGCCTGTGAGCATGTTTAATTTAGAATTTCATATCTCCTGCTATGTTAATACATACATATAAGGCTGTTGTAAGACATAATGTGCCTGAAGTTTTGTAATTTTTTACAGTTAGTGTCAATTTCAATAGACACTTTTATAAGTGGGTGCCAAGATGGGAGGTTTTCTTTCACTTGGCCCTGCTTGGGAATACTTCCTAAAATAGGGTGCAAATCTACTATGACAATGACACATTGGATAGGACATATGCTTCTGAATAGAGTGACTGTCAATAAATTCTAATTAGTGGGGTAATAGCTGCTTGATCCTAAGAGATATCTGACTGCCATTTTGGGGTCAAAACTGATTTTCTTTCCCAGTTTGTTGCAAAATCGGAAGTGCTTCAGACTGGGTGTTGCCTTCTTTTGGATCAACAGCAAAAACATATGTGAGGAAGGCTGAACTTGATGGACGCAAGTCTCTTTTCACCCTATGTAACTATATAAATTTACATATACCTATGCAAAGCACGAGACACACGAGCCAAAGGAAAATCAGAGCAACTACAGTGCGTGCACGACTGTTACTGTGACAAAGGGCAGGTCAACCACTTGGAGGACAGGCGACAGAAGGGCCTTATTTTAAAATAGTTTTTTCTTAAAATCTCTATATGTCTTAATAGAATTACTGGAAAATATATATATTTCTATGTAAGATTGAAGGAGAAGAATTTTGATGAAAGACTTCAACAGGTAAGTATCAATGTTTCCTTTTTTAGTTTGTTTGTTTTGTTTTTTTTATAAACATGAAAATATACCGCTCTTACTAATACTATTTTGGGAGTTCCAGAACGTACAAAAAGTCGAACGGTTCCCCTGGCTCACAGGTAGCGTATGTCTGCCTTGTTCATGCAAACAAACCTACCGAACAGCGCTCTCCTGGCTTGTCGCAAAAAGAAGCAGGTGTTCGTATACTTTCACCAGTGTTCATGCGGTCGATTGTCCGAATTGTAGTTCCAGACACTCGACGACCAGGTCCCGCACCCTGCATTCGTGCGACAAGATGGCCTCCGTTTTCTCCAGCGTTTGGCGTTCGGTTATACGGTGGCCACACAGAGCGAGCACTTCCTATTCTGTGGTTTTCTTTGATGTTTAATGAGCCAGGGGTGGTCGGTGTTCGGGAGATAGAAGAATGAACATCACTAATACCTAACCTGACTTGATGACATTTGCAGGCAATATTAACTAACAAGTCTTTGTTAATCAATTAGACCTTTTAACCTTTTGGAGCCATCATTGTATTTGCCTGTAACTTTCAGTTTGTGTTATAAAAGACACCATTTTTTTTTTTTATTATTGTTTTGTCATTAAATTGTCATTAATGCAATCTAACCCTGATTAATGACTATTTCATAAATCATTTCAGATAACAAAATTCCCATTTATTCTTGATAATGTTTACTGACTTTGGTGGCATTACCAGCATTAAAACTTAGAATTTTTAATACTTTAAAATGTCTTGCGAGTCTAGCTGAAAGTCATTGATCGGTTTCCAAGCCTGGATTATAATGTACCGGATAGAGCGTTATGTGCACTCATGCCACACACACAATACAATTGAGATTGAATCTGTGTCATGGTAGCCTTGACCTACAATGTACAAAACAAAATAATTAAAAAAAGCAAGAACAGAAAATGATTGGTTCACTATTTTGCGCTCAATTATATGACATTTAATAAGGAACCTGTGACCTTTTTTACAGCAAATTCAACAAATAGCATGCACCTTTTCCAATTATCATTTGAGTCATGTTTCCTGAGTGTACATGTTGCTGTGATATGACGGATTATTCCTTCTCCATGGCAACATTGTTTGACGACATGAATAGAAGGCTCTCACTGTGGGACAGTAATTAAAAGCAAGACCCTGATTTAACCATTACACAGCTAACGAGTAAAACAAAAAATGAATAAGGAGGTTCTCCAAGATACATTTTGATTTTTTTTCAGGCTACGTTTGAGGTTTCTTTGAGGAAACCTAGAAGAACTATTCTGTTAAACATGGCAACTGGAGAATTTGATCATCACCTAGGACACTCTTTTGGTGGGATATAGGTCCATTTGTTATGAATCTCCCATTCACAATATACTGGTAGATCCATTACGTCTTTCTTAGCACCAGTAGTGTTAATAGGTTTGCCATGAGAGAGCTTACAAAAAATAAATGCAAGATTAAAAATGCTGCTCTAAACAAAGTATTTATATCCCTCTCAGCAGTGTAGCTACAATAATCTTTTAATGTTTTAGTAATTGTAAAATGCATTCTCTGCAAAGACCTCTGGATGTATATCTTATTTCTGTATCTTCTGGGAACATCTAACTCTTAGTCTACTTAAAGGGACACTATAGTCACCCAGACCACTTCAGGTCAATGAAGTGGTCTGGGTGCCAGGTCCCCTCAGGTTTTAACCCTTCACATGTAAACATAGCAGTTTCAGAGAAACTGCTATATTTACATAGCAGGGTTAATCCAACCTCTAGTTGCTGTCTTCCGGACAGCGTCTAGAGGCGCTTTTGCTGGACTGTTAGAATGCCGCTAGAGGCGCTTCTGGTGGACTGTTAGAATGCGCGCGAGGCTCTTGCCGTGCATGCGCATTCAGCTCCACACTGGAGCGGACGTCAGCGGGGGAGGAGAGGTCACCAGCGCTGAGGGAGCCCGACGCTGAATTAAGGTAAGCTGTTGAAGGGGTTTTAACGGGAGGGGGACCTTGAGGGTGAGGGGCCCCCAAGGATGACATAATGTCAGGAAAACGGGTTAGTGATCCTTTAACCCCTTAAGGACCAAACTTCTGGAATTAAAGGGAATCATGACATGTCACGCATGTCATATGTCCTTAAGGGGTTAAGCCAGATTGACCAGACTATTATCATTATCGATATGTTAGAAACATTTCACACTTTTCACACGGGGAGAATACATTCCCAATTAAAATTAAGCACTCAACAGACTGTATAAGAAAAGTGTAAAAAGTTACTTTGCATTCTTTTTCAAACATCTGGACTCATTATTGATAATCCTGTATTTGCATGTTTCTGTCCCCCCAGATTGGTGACCGTGTTATGGCTTTTGTAAATTACAATGCTTGGGCAGAGGTTGCATGCACTCCCGCTGAGTTTGTATATAAGATTCCGGAGGACATGACTTTTCCCGAAGCAGCTGCCTTTCCAATGAACTTTGTTACAGCATACATGATGTTATTTGAGGTTGCGAATCTCCGAGAAGGAATGTCGGTCTTGGTTCACTCTGCTGGTGGTGGAGTCGTAAGTTACTTGCACATTATTGTTTGACTCTTTTTAGAATTGGAATGACAATGGTATATCATGTCAAATAATGGTTGGAATTAATGCACAGAAGTGTGCTAACTGATTCAATGCATTGAAATTTAGTGAAAATTAGTTGAAAAACACCCTCAAGCTACACCTTTCTCTAACATGATAGACAAACATAACGTTTTTTGTTTTGTTTGCTTTGTTGTAATTTGGAGTAACCAAGCACTACCATTCAAGAAAATGCTAAAACAAAATCATTAAAATAAATAAGCTCTCTTTCGAAGCAAACCTTGGAATATACATGCTTCAAGGCTGTATTTAATTCTCGAAGTATATATATCATGACATGGCAACCAGATTCCTACTTCTTTGCACGATTCTACCGTGTACCCCATGCTGATGTTAAAGGCTTTCATCGTTCAGGCTTGTTAATGACAACATTTTCTTCAAACGTTCTGAAAATGGTACACTCCGTATTCATGGGTCCATGTTAGAAATAAACAAAATAAATCAGTTATTATAGTTATTTACTAAACTGATAATTGTCAGAAGTTCAAAGTGAATTCAACTTTAAGACCAAAATATTTAAACAGCAGGAAGCCCTCTCAAAAGTCTTGGTTCCTGTCCTGCCATCCCCACTTTGTGTGACACCAGAAAACTAAACAGCACTGTCTGTGTGGGTTGCCATTAGTGTGCAATCCTGTGTGACATTTACAGTAGGCTGATTCACCTATTGCATGAGAGGAATGGGGGGGGGGTGCCCGGGGCAGCATGTTGACTCCTGGGCCCCTCTTCATCATGCAAGAAGACTCAATTCAATTCAATTGATTCAATGCATCTCTATAAGGAGATGCTGATTGGCCATGGCTTTGTTTGGCTTGTGCTGACTCTGCCCCTGATCTCCCTCTTTGACAATCTCAGCAAATCCAAAGCTTTCCTACGGGAAAGCATTGTGACTGGCTGAGATCACCACTTCTGATGATGTCAGCTAAGGAGGCAGAACAGGGACAGAGCCAGCACCAGCAGACTGGAATAAAGGTAACATTTTACAATGATGAGAGGGTAAAGGGGAGGCCAGGGGGGCTAGATGGTGGGTTTAACTCTATAGGGTTAGGAATAGATGTTGGTGTTCTTGACCCTATAGTGTTCCTTTAAGGTTCCAGTTGAAAAACAAACTGCAAAATGTAGTTTAAAATACTGAAGCTGATACTGTATTTGAAAATATTTTTTTTCAATTCACCAATTGTTTTTTAGCTCAAAGTACATTTTTCCATGTAAACAATCTGTACAGAGCACTTTCAATTTACATGCCTCCCAACTCCGATATCGAGAGAATCTGAATGCCGGTAGGAGGGGTTAAACAGGTGTTTAGGTGGAGTAGTTAGAACATTCTTCTTTACTTCATATTTAGAAAAGAAAAAAGCATCACTTTCCCTATTTATTGGTGGATTGCACTTTCCATTACTCTCAGCCAGCAGCATGTTGATGAGAGCAGTTATCCATCAAGAGCCTGTGAGGTTCAGATTTCTCTGCCTTTGATTGGCTTGTTAGTACCATAGGGCTAAAGTCTTGCTCACGCAGTGCTGTCAGCCTGATCATACGTTGCAGCACAGACTGGTGTTTGGTGTCACTGTCCTCTGCAGCGTATGGCATTGTTAGAACAGATAAATCCCTTGAGACAGAAACCAACCCTTTCTGACGTAAACTATGAACTCGCAATGTCAGATCATATAAGAGGTGGCTGCATCTTAACATTCTCTAAGGTGCATTAAAACACTTTCCCTGCAAAACATTTTCCAGAACCACAGTCAGCGGCAATAATTTGGTCTATGTCTGCCATGTCCCTTACAGAGATTCCTGCTCAGTAACAAAACAAGTATAGAATGCCAGTTCTGATCACTCACATAGAGAGACATTTTTGCTACTTCTTGCCTTTGGATGTGGGTATACGTCTAACGCAAGCATATATCTGTGCATTGGGTTCACAAGATGCTAGGGCACATGACACTCACATGTTTATTACATGATTGCTGACTGAATTAGCATACCAGGAAATTAAAGTGGTCTGGGTGCAATGCCCCTATTGCACTTATTTCTGCAATGTAAAACGTTGCAGTTCCACAGAAACTGCAAGGTTTACATTGCAGCACTAGGTCAGCCTCCAGTAGCTGTCTACCAGACACTTTTGGTCCAGTAACTGAGGCTGGACGTCCTCACACTGTGCATGAGGACATCCAGCGTCAGCTATTGCCCCATAGGAAAACATTGATTCAATACTTTTCTATGGGGAGGACTAATGCGTGAGCGGCACTCGACGCACATGCACATTAACGCCCTCTTGTCGAGGTATGCCAAGGGACATCGTCGCTGGGATTAGGTAAGTAAATAAAAGCTTTTTAACTCTTTAGACACTCATCACCCTTAAGATATTTTTAACCCTTTATTCACCATGGCGGGGGTGGTGCGAGGCAAGGGGGTGGGGGGGCAGAGGTAGCTTAGTGCCAGGAATACGGCTTTATATTGGAACTATAGTATACCTTCAAAGGTAGTGATGTGGTATAGACCGTTTAGGCCAAAAAGAAACCATAAAAATGCTTACTAAAGGGCCAAAATATAGTTACTGGGTAAAGCAGGGGTTGAATAGTCCTCTGTTTATGCTTCTGACAAGTTATTGTTGGACCATGACATTTTTGTGCTTTGTATACATTTATAAAGCATCCCTATCCATAAACTATCCAGAGCAAAAAAGAAAATGAAACCATCTACCAACTAGTCATATGGGGCTTGGATTAACGCATCTATTTTCATGAGTTGCCTTCTAAAAATGTCAAGTATACGGATGAGTGGAAAGATGAGGTTAGCCCACTTTCTTTGTTAAAGGTCTCTTCTGGTCAGTGTAGCAATTGATGGATAAATCGAGATCCCTACTAGGACAACAATAATACAATATTATTTATCTTCAGGGTCAAGCTGTCGCACAGCTCTGCTCAACAGTTCCCAATGTCAAAGTTTTCGGAACAGCTTCAGCATTTAAACACGAGGCCATCAAGACTTCCCTCACTCACCTTTTTGACAGAAACTCTGATTATGTCCAAGAAGTGAAACGGTAAGACATGCATTGATGCTGTGAAATTCCCGTGAAGGTTCTGGGTTCTAGATCATCCATGTGACTAGGCAGTTGCCTTCTATATTACTGAATTCTTTTTTTGTTTCAGGACACAAACGTAGACAATCACAAAAGTACATCTTAACCAAAAAAGATTTTTTTTGTAATTCAAACTGTAGAGAACCTTCTGCCTTTTATAAAGGCCACCAGCATTATCCAGTTCTGAGAAGACTTGAGCTAATAGACTTTGCATTCCAACTAGGGCTGCTTTATTTGTTTCTTTTTTTTTTGTCGTATGCATTACATATCATACCTAAGACCAAGAGCCACGATGCAGGTCTGGCAAGCTAAAAAGTGCCTTCTTTATCGGTTTCGACATTTCAAGTTGTTTATTATTCTGGAGTATAAAATGGTGCTTCTGACCAGATGGACTCAGATTGTTGCTCTTGTAGCGCAAAAGAAAGGAGATGCACAGGAAAAGGTAGACTCTAGTTACGTGCATGCATTAAAAATGATATGCAAAAAGGCTACTCTACATGTAATCTTTTATGTTCAACAATGGCAAAAATTATGACATCACCGCTTGGAGTGCAGTGGCCCAGTGGTGCAGTAGAGGTGAGCTATACTTACCAGATACTTCTGTTCAATGGTGCTACCATCTTAGTTCTTCTTCTGCTTGGAACCCACATCAATGCTGTATTCTTGCACACGCACAAGAGTACACCGAGTCTATGGAGGATCCCACAAGACTACAGCTGTTGGAAGTGACAAAACTTGACAGTCGTGCCTTTGCAATTTGTCAAGTTAGGCATTTATCATAAGACAAAATAGTCTCTACTTTGTCTTATGATCTATTTTGACTTCATTGGCATTTCAATACAATTTCAATACTAGTCTTTATGAGCATTTCAGAAAGATTTTATCTTTATAAAGTGCTCGACGTGGTTTTGGGGGTGATAGAGCTGCTTTAAAGGAATTAGAATAATTAGACTTGACCTGTATTTGCTGACCTGGCTTTGTAATCCTTTCCTTCTTGAGACATCATCAGTCTGCTATTAGGCACACTTTGATGGTAGCTGTATCCAGCGAAAGAGACACGAGAACCTTTAAATACACCCTGAATGCTGCTGTTGCTATGGGTATCTCTGAAGGCTTTGCTGACATTGTTTGATCATGAAATGAAAATTAATCTTAGTGACCCAGATACTAGTAGACATTGCATTTACAGCTTTTTTTTATTACCATACATGAAATAATATCTTTGCTGTGGAACATATTTGCAGAGCAGTGTAGAAATATAGTTAGTCCATAATGTCTTAATGTACCTCCCGAGGGTTCCTATTTAGGAGGGACAGTCCCTCTTATCTATCCTAATGTCCCATTTTTCAAGGAGCTCTATATTGTTGATGTGTCTGAGTGTATATCAGAGCGCCACATCAATATTACTCACTGTAATGTGTCTTTAAACTACAATTAATGTGTTTAGAAATCAGTCTGTGTAAATAAGAACATTGTTTTTGTTCTAAATTACATTTTAGTTGTATAAACCTATTAGTAAGTCACCTAAAGTTTCTCAGAACAGCCCCGCCACCTGTCACACTCCTAAAATTAAAATGTCCCTCTTTATCCATTTGGAATGTTGGGAGGTATGCTTTTAATACTCCAGGAATTAATTTAAACTTGGAGAGGAACACATTTCTTTGCTAGAGTCTAATTCTGACCACTGCAAATGCGTTGAAAATTACAGCCTCCCCCTACATTGTAAAGAAAGCTTGCGATTAAAACTTTTTATGGCTTATTTCTGAAGGGGAAAGGGATAGTGAGGCCCATGACGTCACTCAGAGCAGTACAGAAATCAGTCCACTTCAATGTAACACTTTTCAAATGTCTGTATTTTACTAATAGAAGTATGTTTAGGTACGTGGGTCATAACAGATCCAGTGTAGGTTGGGTGACTGCAGGGTGCAGGGGGAGGTATCTTCATCTTGCTGGTCCTCTTCAACTCCTGGAGCTTCATTTGCCAGGAGCCTCGTCATTGCTCTACATAGGCACATGAGCAATAGTACAATACTGAGTTTGCGGGAGATTCCACTGATCGATGCCTGAATCTTACTTGTGAAGGCTGCTGGGATTTGACAAAAGTTGAGAGCGGAGCTCTGCCTTCTGTTAAATTCTGGCTTTGTCAACCTCTGGTTTGTACTTTGTCTTCTGATATCTATGGATTGCACTGGAATTCCATTGAAATCAGCCTTGATCGGTATTTTTTATTTTTTTGTCAAGTTTATTCACCAAAGTGAGTACTCTTAATAGTAGCTTAACTGGAAAAAACTGTCTAAGACATCTATGCTTTCAGTTCAGGTGCTCTGACCTTACATTTGAAATGCAGTTTGAATTCTCATTTTAGTAAATACCTCTGTATATCTTTATGAAATACTAACAGATCTGCTTTAAGAGTAAATGGATATTGGGCAAAAACAAAAAAAAAAACTAAAATGTTTACACTTCGTTTTCATTTTTAGGAAGGAGTGTTGCTCATAGCTCCAACAGGATCCTTCCAAATATCCTGTCTTTGACTATTTTATCCTACATATTGTATACGACAAAAAATATTTTTCCTTTATTTTAATATTTTGGACCTTCTATAAAATATTGCAATGTAAGGGATGTCATAGTGTCGTCATTCTCCTAATATTTCTTTAAATAACTAAATTACAAATAATATTGTGCAAATTTACATCATTTACATTTTTATGTATGTCCGAACAGCAATCGTTAACCCTGCTCGTTAAAGAAACATTATACTAATATTTTTGTTTTTCCATCATTTATTGCAGAATTTCCCCAGACGGAGTAGACATTGTTTTGGACTCTTTATGTGGAGAAAACACTGGAAAAGGAATTGGGCTTCTTAAGCCTTTGGGAACATATATTTTATATGGTAGGTTCTTTGTAACTACATGTGTATTTGTAGTTTAGTTCAATCCAGTAGCTCAGTGATACCTTTTCTTGCTGTGGACACAATCATTTTCTTTATAAAAGATCATGTGACTCACGACTAGTCTTGGTGATATTGCCTTTTATTTTAATTGTAATCGCGAATAAAGATTGTATGACATGATTTGCCCATAATTCTCCCTGATCAACCAATAGAATGACAAGGAAAATGCAGCACAGGTGCATAATTATACACATTTGATTGCACTTGATGAGTTTCAGGATATTTAGGCAAATACAAATGCACTTCGGCAGTGCTTAGCATATTGGCCTTATGTCATGCATGACTGCTGGAATCACACCCTCCTCATCGGCCCCACCTCTCACTATATCACACCATCCAAAGTTGGTTGGTCTGCTCGAGGATACAGACTATTTGTAAAAAATTATGGCAGTAACATTGGATCTATTGTATTCCAGGCTGACTTTTTCTACTTTTTAATGTTTGTTTTATTTTTATAAACATCCCTACCACCATTTCTGTATTCCAACAATGTAGGCCCGAGAACATTGGTTTATTGAGTTTGTTTTATTTTTCAACCATTTTTTTTCTTTTCTTTTAATTAAGTATGTTTTTTTATATATATTTTAGGCTCATCCAATATGGTCACGGGTGAAACAAAAAGTTTCTTCAGCTTTGCCAAATCAGTAAGTGTCACTAACAACTTGAACGGGGAAATCCAATATGTATAATACACAGAAAAACAAGCCAGGTTACACTCATTTGAATAATCATGTTATTTTATTTTTAGAATAAATTATTTTATTCACTAAAAAGTAAGGGATTGTGAGCCGACAAAACATTTGCAAAATAGAATAACTAAAACATCATAATATGTTCTGTTTAACTCAATAAGCATAATAAGGTTATACAGGAGAACTGGTAAATAAGTGTGATGGATTATTGGTGGAACCTCCTTGTTGATACACTGTGTTTTTGCTTTCTTCAAGTGGTGGCAAGTTGAAAAAGTGAATCCCATTAAACTTTATGAAGAGAATAAAGTTATGGCTGGCTTCTCACTGCTAAACCTGCTCTTCAAGCAGAACCGTGCCCCAGTCATTAAGGGGGTGATTGATAAACTTCTGGCCCTTTACAATGAGAAGAAAATCAAACCATTAGTGGATTCGTTGTGGGCTTTGGAAGAAGTAAGTAGATTTTGTTTCCCGACTTGTTATTAATATGAATGATAAAGGAGTATGAGTGTTTTAATTGCTCTCTGTGGAAGGTAATGTCAAAGATTCACTCCTGCAATATCATCCAAATCTATCCAAAGTTGAATGTCTAAAGTGTTTTTATCAGGGTTGAAATAGCCCACTCAGTTTTTGGTGGGGTTAGCCAACATTGACCACCTTAAATATTGACCCATTGACTTCAATAAAATTTTGCCTGCGTTTTAAATAAATACATTTATTTATAGTGCTTGAGTTTTGAATTGTTGCTATAAACCCCTGTTCTCCTAACATGAAGTTTACTTACTTCAATTCCAGGGAAGAGAGGGTTACCATTCTGTCAACAAGATCAGCAATAGTAAGCATGGAAGCTCACACGCAAATACAAAGCCTCTCCTAGTGAAGCATTTTGGTCATATGGCACTTGTGTGACAATCATTGCACTTGAACAGAAAATGCTTCTCTTGAAATTGGCACTTTATAAAGTAAGACGGATAAGGAGGTAGAAGACAGTATTTAAGTTTGCGGGATATTTGCATATTTCGCAAAGACCCCCACAACAGAAAGATCTTGTGTGGATTTAGTGGCCGCGTGGGGTTCAGGGTAGGTGTGTTTTATTTACCTCTGGCTATCCTTAGTGGTAGCCGCCATCTTAATGCTACAGGTCTGTTGGACTTGTGCTTCAGCTGCAAGGAGCTGCACGAGTACACCACTGAGGTCTCTGAAGATTCCCGCATTACCGTAGAAAAATCTTGAATCCAACAGCCGTCATTTGTAATGGCTGCTGGGATTGGGCAACAGTTGGTGATAGAGCTTCTCCTTTGGTCAACTTTTGTTAATATCATCCTTACTATTAGACAAAGTAGTTCCTACTTTGTTTTATTGATATTTTTGGGTTGCATTGGAATTTGTGAAATTCCAACACAGTATTTCATAAAGATGTTGTCTATATTAAATACTGAAACGTGACAGATGCTCTTTAAATCCTAACGCACTTCAACAACCTGGCGTGTTTTATGGGTTTCCTGTAAGTGATTATAGTCTCCTTTGAATTTATGTTGGTGATGCATTTTTTTAGTTGAGGTCCTTCTGACCTACATAAATCTGAGGCAGTTCTAACTTAGTAGAAACTAATTATTGAGGGCTATATTTACACTAGATCTAAATTTAGCATTTGAGTGTGGGCCTCCCACTACTTGCTTAGTAGTATTGCTTCATCCCAACACTGCTGATACATCCGGCATGTAATATTAAGCCAATTAACTGAGAATATGCTTACCAATGAAGAGAGTACTAGAGGGTAGTTGATGAGTAGTACAGTTCTCGTAGAAAAGACCTGAAAGGGTCAAAAAGTTATCATCTTGAAATCTAGCTGTTAATGCCAGAGCAGAACATTCTATGACGGAACAGGGTATGTAAAGACTATCATGAAGATGGCATGGTCAATAACAGGTCTAAAAAGGATTAATGTCCTTCACCTTAGTGAAATAAATCTTCAAGATTCAGATTATTATTTATTTAATATGAGTGCAGTTACCATAATAAGGGCTTGTAGCCCTTCAAAAGAGTAGACATTTTCCTTTCAGCCAACTCGGCAACATTTTAACATCTCTGTATCTTTATCAAGCCAGACACGAAAGTGTCAAATGTTGCCACGTTTTGTGGACAGAGAATAAACTTCACTAAATCCATGTAAGGTAGTATTTTTGTGATATGCAGACAATGATGTGCTACATATACTTATACGCTAATAATGCTCTCTCCCCATGCTCAAGGTTAAAGAAGCAATGCAGAGAATTCACGACAGAGGTAACATTGGAAAGCTTATCCTGGATGTGGAGAAGACTCCAACCCCACTGGTTCGTTTAAAAAAACAAAAAAACAAGTATTTCAGTTGTCACACTGTGGCAGAACCAGAGCATGCTAATTGTGTGCCAGCAAATAGCCTTAGTAAGTGGTTGTAACGGCACTGCCAGGCGTAAAAGGGGTTTAACCGCCGTTAAGAAGATCTTCCCCTTCCAGAGACACAGGCACAGCTACCGCAGAACCCCAAACTCCCGAACAGGATACAAAGTAGCATTCCAAACTCCCGAACTCGAACCTCACAAATAGCTGCTAGCAGCTGAACAGGAAAAGCACCCAAGCGGCTTACACTCCTCGCAATCAGTCTATAACAGCACACAGTAAATCCCCCAAGAACGAGACAAAGCTCCGTGTTGAGGGTCAAGCAGTGAACAGACTGAGCTGTGTCTTTATTGGCCTTATATACACATTTTACAGACAAAGTCTCACCAACAGGGTTTTGTGGAACATCCAATCAAAACATACAACACAGATACACACTCCCACAATGACATCACAATCTATCCTCTCTATCCTTGAGATAATTCGGAAGTAATCCAATTATCTCCAAGGACAGAGGCAAAACTCCGTCAAGCACAAAAAAATACAGTAAAATACAATGAAATACACAAAGTTACATTTATTACATAAAATACAGACATGCAACATATCCCCAGATAGCTTAAGTCTGAGCACACATTATTACTGAATGGCGCTTAGACCACACACATACAGTTCAATTGCCATGGAGCCAAAGTCTTTTATTACACGAATAGGCTCCATGGCATAGCTATCTGGGTTAAATGTGTTCATTCAGTAAATCCGAGAATCTACCGAACGCCAGGGCAGAAAAACATGAATAGAACTTTCTGCATAGGAAAATAAAGTATTTAAATGCAGGTCCATAGTCAAAATGCAACAGGCAGGCAACTAGGCTCCTCCAATGCACAGTGGCGAGATTGGTCTCGTCACTGTGGTCATGCCCATTGTTGGGCTAATTGTTCGGCCTCGATTGGACAAAGGGTGTTACTCTTCTTCAGGCTTTTTTGATCTTAGACATCACATTCAGACTAATTAGACAATGGCCACTGCATTCACTGGACTATTTGCTTGGTGGCAATATTCTTCATTAGACTGGTTAGAGAGTGGTAATGCCATTCACTGGGCCATTGCCATGTGACCATATCCTTCACCAGGCTGGTTTCCCAGTAGCCATAATGCTCATCAGACAGCTAGCCAAAAGGCCATAGCTTTCACTAGAATGGCTGCCCAGTGGCCATACATTTTATCAGGCTGGTTGACATATGATAACACAAAACATGCCATCCCCTGTGCACTGATTGACAGCCCATAAAAAAATCCTTATATTCACAGGCTATGCCGTCTCTGTGCGGACAGTTTGTCTTTGTAATATTATTTATAAAACCCACACATGGTTAGTGTTTGCAAACAAATTGCCTATTTTGCAAGTAAACCTCCTGTTACAGTGTTTACAGAACATCCAGCCTTGTACAAACTGGAACACTGACCATTAAAGAGTCTCTGTTGTTTTACCGTGCACCACTATGTTCTCCACTGGACTCCAAATACACTGATTTTTTTTTTTCTTTGGCAAACGAAGCATCCGGGAGTAGTTTTCCAAAAGATTACCCAATGCTCATGTGGATAAAATATGCTTTTGTTTACAGACTTTGAGACATCAGTGCCATTTATGTTCATCGTTAGAGCAATTAGTGTAACTTCTAAAAGTAAATGTTGCCAGCTTTTAATATCAGAGATGTTTACAGTAACATATCAGATATTGTTGCTCAGTGACATCATGGTCAAAGCTTGCTTAAATATGTCATGATTTATTAATCACTACATCTGGGTGCCTGAACTGTTTTTGGCCTGTAATCCTGGTGTGAGTAAGGTGACTGACAGCTGTCTTCTGCCAGTAGAAGTAACTTGTCGCCAGACCTGGTTTTGGAAGTGAGCGTTTGTGTAGGTCAAGATGGCGAACAGACGACAGCAAAATCTGAATTTTAGTGCATACACTGTCCAGCCACAACATTAAAACCATCTGCCTAATATAGTGTAGGTCCCCCTCTTGCTTCCAAAACAGCTCTAATGTATTGAGGCATGTTATCTGTGGTATCTGACACCAAGATATCAGTAGCAGATTCTTTAAGTCCTGCAAGTTGCGACGTCAAGCCTCCATGGATCAGATTGGTGTTCCAGCACATCTCACAGACAGGGCCAGATAAAGAGCTAATTGGGTCTGATGCTAGAAATTATAATGGACCTAATTACAGAATCTTAGTGAATATACCAAAAGGTGGACATGCCACAGTTAGAGAGACAGAAGCAGTAAGAACATTTGCACAGTGCTCAAAGTCAGCTTTACCATAACTAATTTATAGTCAACCAGTCCACTCAAGATTTGTCCCCCTGCATCCCTCCTATGTTCAAATACTATATATTGTTGGGCCTATTCCATGGACCTGGGCCTGGAGCTTCAGCTCCATTAACCCCTACGTTAATCCGGCCCTGCGCACAGATTGAGATCCGGAGAATTTGGAAGCCTAGGCAACTCCTTGAAATCTTTGTCATGTTCCTCAAACCATTCCTGACCAATTCTTGCAGTGTGGCAACATTATCCTGGGGAAAGAGGCCCCTGCCATCAGGGAACACCATTGCCATGGATAGGTATACATGGTCAGCAACAATTTTTAGCTAGGTGGTGTCAAAGTAGCATCTACATGAATGCCAGGATCCAAGGTTTCCCAGCAGAACATTGCCCAGAGTATAACACTGCTGCTGCTTAACAGCCTTCTTCCCATAGTGGATCCTGACATCTCTATCCCAGGTAAACTATGCACACGCACCAGGCCATCCACCTGATATAAAAGAAAACGTGATTCATCAGGCCAGGCAACCTTCTACCATGGTTCAGTTCTTATGTTCATGTCCTCATTGGCAGTGGACAGGGTACATCATGGGCACTCTGACCAGTCTGCCGCTTTACCACCCTTTACACAGCAAACTGGGACTGCACTGTGTGTTCAGACACCTGACATTTAATTCAGCAATTTGAGCTACTCTTCTGTATGATCAGACCACATGGGCTAGACTTCACTCCCCATGTGCATCAGTGAGCCCTGGGCACCCATTACCTTGATGAATATTAATTGCACCATTTTTTTGGACAAATCACTGCATACTGTTCTGGACCAAACCAAGTGTTTGTCTGAATATCTGCCCCTGTCCAAATTGTTTGAAATAAGATGCGTGCACGCTGAAGTAAATCACACTGACAACAAGTTTCAGATGAATGAAAAACTTCAGAATGTTTACTTATAAAGGCAGAAATACATCATATGCAAAATATGGAAGCACGTGAAAAGTACATTTTAATTGGTATTTGTTTAAGTGTTTTATCTTGATGGACTTCCTACAGGGTGTGAGGTCATCGGCATCCTGGGTGCATTACATTAAATTCTTTAGTCAATGGGAGGGGGTGCTCTAGGGGCCATTTTGAATAGTTAATAAAAGCACAGATGCATATAGTAAATAGACATTTTACTAACATTAATTTCTATCCATCACAGTGGCTGTAGTTAGGAGAACTTGGAAGGGACCATCATATCTAAGCTCAAGAGAGTGTTTTCTCACAAATCACCAGGCAGCAATCGATGGGTACTTGTATCAGTCTCGGGTTCTGGAATGGAAGAGAACATGTGGGCATGGATTTTGGTCAACGCACGAGAGAGAGCAGAAACATAGTCAACCAATACCTCAGAGTGGAGCTGAAGTTGTTGGGGGAAATAGCATCAAAGTCTAGGTGCTGATCCAAACAGAATCTCATAAGGGGATAAAGCAAACCTCCCTCTTGGTGTGTATCTTACACTTAACAGAGCAATAGGGAGACTCTCAGGCCATGAGAGATTAGTTTCTTGGGCCATTTTCAACGTTCTAGCTTTTAGGGTGCCTTGCCAATACTCTGGGGGTGATAGAGTGTGTGGAATTAAAGGGTTACCCCCAGTGCTGCCCAGATTTCCTTGGTTACTGATGATGTGATCCCTGATCACTTTCTATTACTTCGAGGACTCCATATCTGCATATCACTTCGGTAAGCAGACGCTTGGCTGTGGTTTTGGCTGTCATATTGGTGACTGGGTAGGCTTCTGGCCATCCTGAGAACATGTTGCCCCTTTCTGTTTCCAGCTTTGAATTTCTTCAGTATCAGCAGCTGCTTGTTGTTCCTTCAGGAGCTTGAGGTCTGTGGGTAGATTCTGCATGGTGAATATGGGGACTACTTTGGCGGACACTCTTCTGTCCACTTCCCGTGGTGCACACGCAGCTTGCTTAGCGGCTTGATCAGCTAGATGGTTGCCTTGTGCTTCATCAGAGTTCAGTTTCCCATGAGCCTTTACTTTGAGTATGGCCACTTCTTCAGGGAGGAGTAGGGCATCCATCAGCTCCTTGATAGCCGTGCCGTGTTTGACCGGTTTACCAGTTGCTGTGAGAAATCCTCTTGTCTTCCAGATTAGTCCAAAGTCATGGGCCACAGCTAATGCATATCTTTAGTCAGTGTAGATATTGGCATGTTTTCCTTCAGAGATCCTGCATGCTGTGGTGAGAGCCTGTAGTTCGGCTTCTTGTGCAGACATGGATGAGGGGAGTGAGGATGCTTGAAGTACTTCATCCACTGTGGTGACCGCAAATCCAGTATGATATCTTCCTTGTTCATCAGCATATCTGGAGCCATCCACAAACAGGGTGAGGTCAGGTTCTTGTAGAGCAGCATCGTGTACAGTTGGGAGATGTGTTGTCTTCATCTGTTCAAAACAATCATGAGGTGGATTTGGATCATGTTCTCTAGGAGGGATTATGGTACATGCAGCTTCTGCATGGAATTGGGGATAGCCAATTACTCTCCAATGCAAGATCTGTTTAATGATACCTTTCTCAGAGAGCTGGGTCTGGTCTTCAGAGCTCCACAATTTTGCCATAGAGCCAAGATCTTTCCATGAGTTCTGAGGGGACTTTATTATAGAGATGTGTGGGATAGTTGTGCCCCAGTGATGATACAGGTGAGTAGCTTCTGGAGGTAGGTGACTTGGACCATGCTGTTGCCCTTGGGAATCACAGAACAGGTCAGTTATGATGAATGCCAATGACAAACATCTCTGTAAGGAGACATTGTCTGGTAGGAGTAGAAAACATTGCAATCGGAGGTGGCGTGCAGAAGAGAGATGCTTGAGTTGGATTTGCTTGAGGATAGCAGCAATGTCATGAGGAGCAAGGATGACAAGAGGATGGCCAAGCACTAAGTCATTGGTTTTGTTAATAAGAGCATGCACAGCAAAAACAGCTCTGAGGCAGGAGGAACCACCTCTTGCTACAGCATCCAGTTGGCAGGAGAAGAATCCAGTGGGGCATAGGCGTGAGCCATGGTACTGAGTGAGAACTCCAGTAGCATGTCAGTTTCTTTCAGACATGAACAACCTAAAGTCTTTCTTGTAGTTAGGAAGGCCCAGGGCTGGTGCAGAGAAGACATCACGTTTCAAGGCATGGAAACAGGAGAGAGCCTCGGGAGACAGGTAAAAAGGTTCAGTCTTGAGGGCATCATAGAGAGGTTGCGTGAGGATGGAGGCTTCTGTTATCCAGGCTCTGCAGTAGGAGATTAGGCCCAGGAAAGCATGGAGGGGTTTATGTGCTGTTGGTGGAGGAATAGCCATGATGGGTAACTAGCAGCAGGATGAGGTGGTCTCCCATCCTGCAGGAACTGTCTAGGGGCCTTTGGGGCAGTACACTCCCTTCTGAAATGACCCAGTTGTCCACAATTGAAACAATTTTGATGTTGCGGCATAGTGGGCTGACCTATAGGTAGGCCAGGTGGCTGAGTCATAGGTAGGCCTGGAGGGAGGGGCACAGGACGGGAGAACATGAGGGGGGCTGGCTTCCTGGGTGGGGGTGGTTAGCAACTAACAGTAGGATGTCCAGAGGAATTACTCTCTACTTTGGGGTGGGACAGAATCAGGCCCTTGCGTATGGACTCTTTAAGGCCTGCTACGAAGGCCGCAGACAGCATTTGGGTATGGACCTTATTGGACATACTGAAACCCAGATCAGAGAAGACTTCAGCCAACCTATTTGTCCACAGATTCTGACTTATCTTGGGTGATATCGTTAATGTAGGTAGCCTGAACAGCTCATTTATATGAGGCCCAATTACGGAGCTACTCACAGAATTCAATGCCTGAGGGAAAATCATATTCGCTAGAGAGTCGGGCACTAGATACACTCTTCTCCATAATGGGCCAATAAGCATCCCCTGCTTTTATTTCGCACATACTAAATAAGTCACGCCATGCGGCAGAGTAGGTCTTTTGGATTTGGACAATCCTTCAGTAAAATGACATGGGTTGTTTCTCTGGGTCGGGTAGAGAGCCCACCAGGATTGCAGTTTGGGACGGATTAAATGAGACGTACATCAAAGGGGCACCGTCCGTGAGAAACTGGACTTTAGCATTCTCAACATGTAGGACTTTGGAATTTCCATTATGAGGTTGTGAAGAACTGCCCCCCAATATGCTACCGTTCTCCTGATACCCATGGGACTTAGCGGCTTCAGAGGAGTTAGGGGCCGGCCTGTGGCGCTTCGTTGGTAATAGGCGTAGGGGAAGGTCGGAAGGGTTTTCGGAAGGAGGTGTTGGGTGTGAGAACATGGAATGGAATCTAGCGGTTCATTTGCAAAGATGGGCATAACAGGGGTAGGCATAACGGGAGCGGCCATGACAGGGGTGGGGAAGGAAGTGGCGGCCACGACGGGAGCGGGGAAGGAAGTGGTAACAGGGGCATGGAAGTGGCGGGAAGGGAAGGTGTTACAGGGGTGGAGACGGAAGGGGCGGAAAGGTAAGGTGTAACAGAGGCGGGGATGGAAGGGGCAGGAAGGGAAGGTGTAACAGGGATGGAGACAGAGAGGGGCAAGAAGGGAAGGTGTGACAGGGATGGGGAAATAGTATGAACCATCCTCCCTAAGGACGGGATAGACACGGGTGGGGGCCAGGGAAGTGATGACTGTGGACACTGGTAATTGGGTGGAGGTCATGAAGACTGGGCCAGCCTCCTTCCCTTCGCGCCAGGCGCCATTATAGGGTGGTGGCTGGCAAGGGGCTTCAACATCACCTTCAGTATTACAATTTCCTTCATGAGAGACATGCAATCTCTGATCACCTAGATCTATTTCTTCCTCCACCCACCCTTCCTGGTGAATTGCTCTGGCAACTCTAAACCAGGCTTCTGCTGTCTTTACTAGATTATTGTCCTGCAATATTCCCTTTTTCTCTTTTAGCAGCCTACGCCAGCCTTCTGGCTGCAGCCATCCGCTGGAAGACATATTAATGCCACATAACTTAGCTATCTTCTTCTCCTTCCCCACTGCCTCTTCACTTTCCCTTTCTCTAACTATATCAGAAGCTAACCAACCCTTAGTGGGTTTTGCATGCTTCTGTCCCATCCTCTCTATATAAGTCATCACAAGATAGAGTCAAACAGGAAAAAGGAGCGTCTACAGTGCTCGACTGCCACGGAGGTTGTCACTGCGTGCGTCTTCCCAAAACGTAGACTAGTCACTAGGTCTGCCCACCCGAGGTGGCGGCAGGCCAGAGCGTGGCTAGAAGTGTGTGACCAAACACTTCTCTTATCAGAGTAGAAGAGGAAAGCAACAAGACATAGACTTACACGTTACATTTTACACTCATTGCAAACAAAAAAACATATAAACCAGAAACCCAAAACTCAAACCACAAAACCCTTTGTGTCTATCAACAGCAAGACTAGACTAGAAATAATACAACTGCCCTTCGCAATGCCGTGTGCTTACTGCACTACAGCTGTACCTTGCTGAAGTTTAACCCCGCCGCGTGCTTACTGCGCTGCGGAGGACAACAAAACAATCCCCACTGTGAGCTCACTGCGCTGCTGCGGAAAACAAAACAATAATCCCCGTGAAACTCCCCCCCATGCTCTATCCTCCCCTTATGCAAAACACATTCACACCCAGGAGGCAGATAGTCAATATACAAGTTCTATATAAAGGGACTCCGGGCAAGCTATTTACCGGTCTTTGGTGCCGTCCAGCAGCCGACACATGGAGACAGGCCAATCACAGGGACAGGATATATAGGCAAGGCAGTCATTACCGTATCATTCAGAGTTGATCAGTCTCCGTCCCGTCACTGCAGGTCTGCCCCAGTGTCTTCTAGGATGGCTGTCCGTGGAAGGGTCACAACCTGGAGCCCCTCGTTGGGTGCCAAATGTTCTGGACCAAACCAAGTGTTTGTTTGAATATCTGCCCCTGTGCAAATTGTTTGAAATAAGGTGCGTGCACGCTGAAGTAAATCACACTGACAAGTTTCAGATGAATTAAAAACTTCGGAATGTTTACTTAGGGGGGCGGTAAGCCCCTTATAAAGGCAGAATTACATCATATGCAAAATATGGGAGGACATGAAATGTACATTTTAATTGGTATTTGTTTAAGTGTTTTATCTTGATGGACTTCCTACAGGGTGTGAGGTCATTGGCATCCTGGGTGCAGCTCTGGATGGAGACGCCATCTTATTACATGAAATTCTTTAGTCGATGGGAGGGGGTGCTATAGTGGCCATTTTGAGTAGTTAATAAAAGCACAGATGCACATAGTAAACAGACATTTTACTAACATTAATTTCTATCCATCACACTAGGACCAGCCTACAAGTTTTGGAGATGCTCTCAATCATCTAGCCATCACTATTTGGTCATTGTCAGAGTCTTTTTGTTTGCCATTTTTCTGTTTCCAACACATGAAATTCAATAGCTGAGTGCTCACTTGCTGCCTAATATTTCCCACCCCTTGACAGGTGCCATTGTAACTAAAACCACTGACAGCTGAAGTGAATAACACTGATTATTTAATTTTGTGGTTGAATAGTGCATATAGTCAGAAACAATACAAGCTAAGCTGGAAACACACAGTTTTGCGCCGCTGTCCAAATTTGTTCTAATAGTGACAGGAAAAGAAAAACAAATATGAAGTGTATCCCACCTTGTCCATTCTTTTGGATCTCCAGGGTTCTGGATTTCTTGTTCCACAATCAGGTAACAAATTAAGCAAAAAGTGTTGATCCGTGCTCATGTAGCATCCGACAACCGCTGAAGAAGCTTAGATAGTAGACACGATATGCATCAAGGTTTCCTCTAGTTTTGTAGTCCCCCTCTTCATGTCACAACACCTTCTTTGCTCTTCATGTCACATTTGTCTCCATCGATGTGGTCTAATATAGGTCATGTATGATTTTTCTTTTGACTAAAGAATCACCTTTCATATAACTTCCCCGTGAAGTGTTGTTGTAATGCTACTAGAGTACACTTCAAGTCTTTTTGCAAAATTAGCCAGAATTTGAGAAGCAGGAAGAGGAACAAGAGTGAAGTCTGACCAAACAGCTCAAATCCTGGACAGAGGATGATACAAGTATTGGTCAATTACAGAGTTATTCACCAAAGTGAGAATTGTAGGTGAATTCAAAGTGAAGTTTAGATTTAAGGTCAATATAGCTAAACTGAAAAAATTATCTGAATTACCTATGCGTTCATTTTGGCTACTTTGGTATAAATTTGAAATTCTATTTGAATTCTCACCTTAGTGAATAACCCTGGTAAAGAACACGAATAGCCAAGTCCAGAGCATATACATCTAGCCAGGCTTCATATATAGAAATCAGAAAAAATGTCCATCACTATATGGTAGAGCAAAGTGGGCTGCAAACTAACAGAACCACGTCATCCTGGTGCCACAAGGTGGAGTCTCAGCGACCCCCTAATTTAGGTGTAATAACAAGAATACCATCTCACGACAGTGGTATTGCCTCATAAATTTACCAACAAAACATGGGCAACGTTTGCTCTTTATTTTGAAAAAAACCCAAGAGTGTAATGCACACACTAAAAAGTGGGGGATACTCCCTGCAGGGTGCTCCAGAAAGGGAGGGCAAATCCCTGAAGACATCAAATGGAAGAAAAAGATCCAGGCATACCTGAGGTTTCTTCTAAAATGCAGTCTTGTTTAAAAAAAAAAAAAAGGAAGTGGAGATCTTATCAAGTCTAATAAAAAGAGGAGCCGAAACGTTGTCTTCACTTACTTGTTTCAAATAAAAAAAAGACTACCTTTTAGAAGAAAGCTCAGGTGTGCCTGGGTCTTTAATTTCTTCCATCTGTTTAATCTTTCGGCATGTTTTATCATCCAGTGATGTCATATGAACATATTCAATTCTTTTTAGATGGCCAATGACAGCACAGAAACCAGTGAGGCGGGGGAAGAGGAAGAAGATCACGAGGGGGACACGGAAAACAAGGAGCGGATGCCTTTCATCCAGTGATGGCATGCACAGATGTTCAGAGGAAGGCTTACAAGACGGAAAGTTCCATTCTGTGCATCAGTGAACAATGTTGCTGTAGTACAGTGTGTGTTGTATTTGTCTGCAGTCTGCTGAGCTATAAGCCGTTGAACAATGTTGTCTACACTGTGGCAAATAATGCCCATTTTGCAATCTTTAGTTGAGTTGGCATTTTGTGGAACTGGATTGCAATAGCTTTATCAAGCTGATCCCAGAAGACCCATTATGTTTTAAATGGAGCTTTTAACTTCTTTGCAAACAGTTTGGGATGAAACATTAGCTGTTCTGATTAGTGACATTCAAGCTGTGTAGCAAGAGAGTTAAATGTCTGCCTTGCTATGCACTGCTCCTCTGTAGCAAAGGGTTAAAAAAAAAAAACTCATGCCAAGTACATTAGCTAAAAGTTGCCAAAAAAGCAGGACTGCCACCGTAACTCAAGTGCCAATCCCTTTTTTTAGTATTACGTGCCATCTGTTGCAAGCTAAACACTTAACCTCCTATCACATGCTCAGCATTATCCCTTTGAAAGGGTTTACTTCTTTTAGAAAGCCTTATGACATTGCTCTGCAATTTAGCAAATCGGGCTGAGAGCCCTTCCCTTCCCTTTTTTTTTTTAAAGAACAAAAGACAAACATTTATTGATCAGTTAACAGAATCTACACTTTACAAATAAATGAAAAATGAAATATTTATATACAATTTTATCTTCTGCCATGAAACATGAAGATACCTCATTTGCGTAAAAAAAATAAAATATATATATAAAATTACGGAGCAGGAAATACTCAAAGCTTTAGATCTTGTTTCACAGTTGATATATAGTTTTTATTAATTCTAGTTGTTTGTAAACCCATCTGCAGTATTTGGACCACTGGTAAAATTAGAAGAGACAAGATGTTTTTATATTAAGGCTACAAACTGCAGCCAAATATTGATCGTGACTATTTGCTGTAATACTCGACCAACAGGAAATGTTCTGTCTCAATCGGGCCACTTTAGCATCTCAAGAAGACCATTCTTCAGAGCAGTGAGATTGGCAGTATCAGATGTACATCCAAATGGCTTAAAACTAAATTATTCAGATCATTTCAAATTGCCTAAAAATGAGCTATTGAAAACCTCATGATGAGTTATGTATATGTTAGAGACAACAGTTAATTATTTCACTTAGACACTTGGCCCTGGCAGCTAATTTATTTTAAGAGGACAAAACTATCAAGCAAAATTAATGAGGGCAAATATTTGTATAAAAGGATATTCTGTTTGCAGCCAATATTAATACGTAATTAGACACCTATCAGTATTCACTAAAATGGTTGTTATGGAGAACCAACAATGGGATTAAAAATGTGAAGCCAAAATAAACCACAATTGACCCATTTTCTCAACCACCCACATTTTTGATAGATGAAGACCTTATCATAAATACATATCATTATGTGCCTGGCAGAAGCCATCTTGTTTTCATGACAGGCTACAGAGATGAAACACTTAAAAGAAATAAAAGTATTAGCAAGGTGGTGTGAGGTCTACCTCATGTCTTCTGGGTCCAAGTTAATGCATCCAAAGCCTGCCATAAAAAGCTGCATGGTGTGATAGTTGATCCCAGTTGATGACAAAACCACCATCAAACCCACTTCCATGTTAATTACACCAACTTATTTTGAGCTGGTATAATATACTATTTTTTTAAATTCCAATTTATGTGGAAAAGAACGCATCATTTATGACCATTTGATAAATCTGGACAAAAGAATGAATTTATTATTGAGTAGAGCTGTCATTATTCTGCCCACTGTTCATGTCAGTCATTACAATTCTCCAAGTACTTTCTCACCCCATAATGTAAGTTAGTTTTATTTTTGGTTTTCCGCTAAGTGGATGGTATAAATTTATGTGAATCCTAAGAACACTTGTTATTGCTTTTTGAACAGAGCTTCTGATTTTCCTGTGGTATATTTGTCTTAGCTCTAAAAATGATGCTTTATGTTACTGTCGTGAAGTATTAATGTAGTTCAAGGTTTTTTAATGTCATGAAGTTCCTAAAGGACTGAAACCACACACACACAAAAAAAAGATACACTAGCTTCTCAAATACCTTTCAATTACTGGCTGTGACGTGTTTAATATTCACAGTCCACTTATAAAAGGAAATATAGAGAATTTTAAAATTATATTTACCTAGACACTCATCCAGTTTCTACTGCCATCCACAGTTCGGTCAGCGCAGTAGCAATTTGGTGATCAACAGAAGTCAAAATGGGGTATAACAATCCCATCTTTCCTGGCTGTTAGTGCATTGATTAATAGACTATTCACACTATGTAAGTTCATCATCGTATCTGAGATTTTCACCTGTTTATCTGTCTGGAGAGCAATTCTTTTATCTCCTTCAGGGAAAGAAACAAGACAGCCCCAGGCATAAAATTGGTTCAGAAAATCTGTAAAGCAATTCTAAACAGGAAGTGTTGGGATAAATGTGAGCAGGGTTTTATGCTACTTCAGGCATAGAAAACAGATTATCGACTTGAAAACCAAATTAAATGGTCAGCTTTCATTATTATGGAACTGGCATGGAGAAATGTATATGCTCACTTACATTAGACCACTAGGGACAGAGGACAAAGTAGCAGAATAATTTGGTCTAATGAGATATGTATCTTGCTGCATCTCTGCACCTGGACTACACTAGCTATGCCACTATTTGCACACACAATTTACAGTGAAAATACAAATGGTTTTAGCCCTTTAGCAGTTTCACTTAAAATTGCTTCTCTCTCTAATTGCTGTATATTTTACTGTAGAGGTGGAAAGTGGATCACTGCAAAAAACTATGCTGTCGTATTGGGGACACTGATGAAAATTAGCTTACAAATGAAGTTTCCAATGGTAGCGTAGCAGGATGTTACTTCCAAACTATCCAACTCTTAATACATTTACCTTTTATGTCAAATAGCCATCATCAACAAAGCTTAAAGCATTTCACTTACCTTTAATTGCTCTTGCTTGACAAACTACACCATTGTTCACAGGACAAAAATACATGGACTACTACGAAAATTCCAAATGGTGCGTTTTTGAGTGTATTTGAACACTAACCCTTGTGTAGCAGAATTGTGGTTAAGTAATATGTTTATCACAGGTTTCGACACCCAATTCCTAATTTTTTGCCTTAATTATATTGTACAATCTGAAACTGGATCCAACGTTAACTGGTGCGAGACATTGTTTGATTGTGTTTGTTGCTATAGAGCTTTTGTTACCTTGTGCCTACGAACCTGTTTACATTAAAAAGTAACATATGTAAGTAAAATTATGAGCATAAACAATAGCAGTGGTTTTTTTTCCCCAATTGTTGTCCATTGTCTGCCATTTTTACTGGAAAGTTTAAAAACATATACATTAAAAATTGTGTGGTACAGTGGTGATTTTAAGCAAATGCTGATGGTGAATATACTGTAATACTCAAGGTACGCTGCCTTTATCATGTCACTACATAGCTTCTTGTCTTGTAACAAGCTTTCTGAAACATACATCTCAAAATCAAGAATAATTGATTTCTGAGAACAGAGATATATTTGAATAAGTATACTTTTGCAAGATACATCGGCAAAGCCATGCTGAAGACTGTCTCCCACTGGCTATTTACTAACCCATAATTTGTCAGACACTTACCAGGAAATTGAAAATATTAGCCCAAACTTGGAAAATTCTCACCTCAAAATTATGTTATAATAGTTATAATTATGAATAACTTATTCCCTGGTTTGTTCAGACAATGTATGGTTTAGTAGATAACCTTGCTTGACTGTCTTTCTTTAGACATTGTCCCCAAAACATGGTCATAGATTCTGTGAATGACTGGTTAAGTTGTCTGTATCACAGAATATCTGTGTTTACTAGTAGACTTCAAACATTTATGGGTGACTTAAAGCAACATCATTTAAAGCTGTGAGGGATCATGGGTAAGAGATCTCAAGCATGTCCAGGTTAAAATGTTTCTATAAACTCTTTTGTTTTTATTAGAATAGTGCCATATTGGCGTTACGCTTTAGGTCTCCCCACTCAAAAGAAAAGCTCAAATACAGTTTTAAAATACGTTTTACTGACCTCAAGCCAGTGCTGAGCCAAGCTCCCAGCTCTGTTTGGCTTCTCTGAGCCAGCAAGAAGAAGGGGAAAGGAGAGAAAGAGTAGGAGGATCTGGGGGGGAAAATACCGACTGGGACAGGGAGGTGGGGAGGGCTACATATAAGTAAGGAGGGAGGAGATACACAAACTTCTCTCTGCAAGGGAGAAGCAAATTATGGGTTTTTTTTGTGCCAGTTTGCAGATGTCAGATGTAAAATATGCACAGAATTGACATTAGGCAGCCCAGCACAGAATGCAACTTGCCCCAACACACAAACAGAAACGCTGCACTTCCAGACTCCAAACTACCATGACCACTTCTGCTTTTAAAACCTTTAAAGATGTCACTGCATTAGACCGGCTATCTGGGCTGATTCACTCAGCTGATATTACCAGATGCTGTCAAGAGATACATAAAAGGGTTCTGTCCAGCAGTACATAGACGTAGCCTGCTGCCAGAGGAAATCAACTAATCACAATGAATTCCACCACGTATGATATTGACAATTTTTTTAAATTTAAAATCAAACTTTTTAAACAAGTATACAAACCAAAATAAAGCAAGAAAAACTGTGAAAAGTATGTAAAAAACATTTCTAAACTTACTATAAACTTGGTCAGAATGCATTGTTGGACACGCCTCTCAGCTAGAAGTTTTTTTCAGCTTCATTGATAAGAGAAACAGGGCATCACTGCACAACAGCAAGAGAAAGAAACTGAACCAGAGTCTGCTCTGCATGAACCATACTGATCAGACTCCCTCTCTTCCCCCCCTGTCAGAATGTTGAAGATAAATACCAACTGCCCATGTGTAAATCTATCAGGCATGCCCAATGCACTTTTTCAGTATTCCTAGGGATTGGACACTGATTGGTTAGACCAGAGTCTCCCCTGGAGTGGGTGTGGAATATATAAGAAAGAAACATCAGGTAAATATGAAAGAAAATCATATATACCTGTTTTTCTTCAGCCTACACAGCGAGATAGTCAAAGTGATGTATGTCCCTGTAATTCTCACTGGCAGCAAGCGAATCTATGTACTGATGGGAATCTCCATTCACATACTTACCAAAATTATGTGCAATAATTTCAGGAAAACATAGCCAAGGCACAACTCTACAAAAAAAAAAGAAAAATAAATAAATTTGCACATGCCAACTAAACACCAATGGAGAAATAGTGTGTAGAAGTTACAGTGTAAAATGTATCTAACAGAATTTAGTGGTCACACAGAAACAACACACTCTTTTACTCCACAAAGTAAACTATATAAGTATATGTAAAATCTTGTTGGAATCGATTCGATGTTAAATCTTCTTAATTTCTTCTTCTCTTCAGTTGATTGATATATACGTCTTTTGTATATATAGTCTTGGGCCAAATTTGCTCGCCACATTAATATATGTCTATATTAATGAAAAGTACTAATACGCAATCTGACTTACGGTTTCTTCAGGTTTATTCTTAGTTACTAATACATAATAAAACAACTAAGGATATTACAGGATAATGCACATTCAACAGCAGATGGTAATTGCTGGACTTCTGATGGGAGAGTTACATCGTTGTACAGGAAAGAGAGCCAAGAGCCGAGAGAGAGACCTTGTGTCCCTCTGTTACTATATAGATGTGCCCATACGGACATCAGAGTTTAACTCTAGCCATACAAGGACAAAAACCCCAAATACACATTCCAGAGTTCTCATACAAAGAAAGCCTTGTGACTTATACCATCTGTTACTTATGTCAATCCACACATCCATACATAATCAATAGAAACCTAGAATATGCAATATTCTACAGTATATTTGGTGTAGTTCAGTCATTTTCTCTAAACAAATATGGCTTCCTTATCTTACTGTGGACTGCCATTTGCACTAGCTATACAGTCATCTTGACACGGTTTCCATGTTTGCCTTTACCATATATTTATTGTACTTATTTGGCTCAAGTGGAGAAGTAAAGAGGCATGGCACCTATATAAATAGTAAATTTGGCTTAGCCGAACCATTTTTCCCCAAAATATAATTTTTGGGGATTTCTTGAATTTCGAAGTTTAGTTCAGCTTGACAAATGTTTGCACCAAAAGGACCAAAATAAAGCAAGAAAAACTGTGAAAAGTATGTAATAAACATTTCTAAACTTACTATAAACTTGGTCAGAATGCATAGTTGGACACACCTCTCAGATAGAAGAGTTTTTTCAGCTTCATTGATGAAAGAAACATGGCATCACTGCACAGCAGCAAGAGAAAGAAACTGAACCAGAGTCTGCTCTGCATGAACCATAAACCATAAATATAGTTTATTTCACTGATCCTACTTTTTTCTCTCTATTGTCCACTTCTCACTTCATCTGTGAATAAAATAAATATTCTGTAATGGCCTCCTAACCAATCATCTGTTCTATTTTTGCCACCGCTGGCTGAATTCAGTGTCACAACCTGACATAATCATTCTAAGCCATTGCATGTTTCAGTTGCATGATTTGGGTAAATTTCGGCTCAGTTTGGGAATTCGACAGAATACATTCAATCAGCCCAAATACAGAGGAATTGCAATTAGGACCAAAACTAAGCTCAAAATCTAATAAATTGTACAGTTTATAGTATAGAGCATTTAGGCAGGCAGGATTATACCCCACCGCTGAAACAAACACACAAACAAAAAACAAAATGGTGTTATGTAGTCGTTACTGTGTCAGGCACCCTCTGGCTAAATCCCACTGTTTTTTGTTTTTTTCTTCAAAACCAAAGCAAACTAACCCATAGACACACAAAAGAGCCTCGAGGAACAAAAACAAGAGACAGAGAGGACAATTTGGCACCATTATTATTAATTATATTTATTTTAACACTATTAATTAGTAATGCTATTGTTAGGCTTATGCACATCTGTGATCACAGTCCATATAATAGAAGCCAGTGCATATACATGAAAAGACCTTTTTAAACAATTAAATGTAATGTGTCATACAAATACTTTAACAATAATATATAGCCGTAATACTGTGGATAGAAGCCGTATATCTCCTGATAGTTTTTCAGAGATATGAAGAAGAGATGCTTTTGTTGCTAAGCAACAGGCTGATATCACATTCTACTTAATCTTCGAATGCAAAATGTTACTTAAATGGTTAATCCAATCACTATCTGATAGCAGAAAAAAAATAAGGGAGTGGGAAGGTAATTTCTCGTGGTTAATATTTTATGCTGTTAGTTCAGCCTTGTCCTCCTTGTCAACCTCAGAGATTTGCGAGATTTTCTACTTTCATTTCCGAAGTCGTCCAGTGTTCATTTATCATTTGAAAAGGTTGTCATTTTTATTCAAATCACAGAGCAGCTGAGCGGAGATGAAAAAAACTACTGTACTGAACTGCTTAACAGAAAGGTCAAGTGGAAAAGCTTGCATGGGTTATATAAAAAGCCTTCTGTGCTGACATACCATTTTTGCACTGCATCGTACATTGGATATTCATAGAATACTGAAAAAAATAAAAATAAAACTAGCATTTCACATAATGCCTGGCTGGTGATGTTTAAAACATAGTTAAAAGGGTTACAATAACCAAAAAACAGTGTGCTGTTTTGATTAACCCTTAACCCTTGCCCGGCTAAACCTTACACTCTAATGCTGAAGTTAGGGGTGGAACATAGGAAGGAAGGGAGTGCCGCCATTAACTGTCTGGCCATGCTGGCATAAGATGCCAATTTTGTATAAGATTAACATTAGCCACCCAGGTCTCTAGTTCTGAGATGGCTAATGACATCCCTATGAGGTTTCTAGCGGTGGAGTTACACTTCCAGCAGCAGTGTGGGGGGGTTGTGTTACACTCCATGTGCGCAATATTTCATACTGAAATGCTGCACATACATACTTCAGGCACCAAAACCACTTTAAATAAATGAAGTGGTGATGGTGCTTGGCATAACTCTTTAAGGCTGTACATGGTAACCAGTTTGACCATCGTCAGTATAAAGCAAAAGACTTACAATGTACTTCTTCAGATAGGCTTTCGACATTTTCCTAAATTCTAAGACAGATCTACTATGCTTTCTGTAAAAGGCAATAAGGTCAAAATTGCAACAAAACCTGAACGGCAAAATTGAGGCCAGGCATGGGGCAACCTTCGGCACTCCAGATGTTTTGGACTACACCTCACATATGCTTTGCTAGCATTATGGGAGATGTAGTCCAAAACATCTGGGGTGCCGAAGGTTGCCTATCCCTGATTTAGGCCAAAGTAGCTTATGTGACAAAATCCTCTGACTCTGCTATAGTCACATCTTTGCTATTGTGGCCTCAGTTTTGATATTTGGATTGTTGTTATTTGCTACCATTTGTAGTATAGTTAATAACCCTATCACTAATTTCTTGTTTTGATTCAATTTT